GAAGTCCGTACGAACCAGGCCTCCCGATCGACCGACCAACCGACCGACCGACGATCGACCGACTCGACCCAACCCAACCCTACTCTAACCTACCCTATACCGTACACAACCCAACCACAACCACAACCACAACCCAATCACAACCCGACCGACCGACTGACCGACCGACTGACCCAACCCACGCTCTACCCCCAATCCACACCCCTACACCCAACCCAACCCCAAAACAGAACCCGACCAACCGACCGACCAAACCCACCCTGCCCTACCCTACTCCACCCCAACCCAAACACAACCCAACCCCAACTCGACCGACCGACCGACCGACCAAACCCACCGTACCCCAAAAGACGACCCTACCAGCCGACCGACCAAACCTACCCTACCTTCTACCCAACCCAACCCAACCCAACCCAACCCAAAACACAACGACCCGACGGACCGACCGACCTACCGACCCGACCCTACCCTACGCTATTACCCTACCCAACACAACACAACACAACACAACACAACACAAATCGCAGAAAAACACAACCCCCAACCCAACCGACCAACCGACCGACCGAGCCTACCCACGCTACCCCGACCTCATTCCAATTCGGCCCCAAAACACAATCCGAACAACCGACCGACCAAACCCACCCTATTTGGAGGTGCAATCTCCGGGTATGAATCGACCGTGTCCTGTGATGGCAATGGCACCCAGTTCAGCTCCAACTCCGCTGAATCTGGTGGTGGGACTTTCTTTGCGGAAAAGTCTCGTGTTTCGTTTAGCGGAACCACGTCATTTGCCAACAACTCTGCTGCATTCGGAGGTGCAATCCTTGCCTGGTGGAACTCGACGGTGTCTTGGGATGGCGACGGCACCCAGTTCGTCTCCAACTCGGCCAACGAAGACATATATGAAGATGGTGGAATTGGAGGTGCAATGGTTGCTTTGTGGAACGCGACCGTGTCATGGGTTGGCGACCTAACCCATTTCGAGTCCAACTCCGCTTCATATGCTGGAGGTGCAATCTACATGGAGGAATCGATCGTGTCCTGGCAGGGCGACGGCACCCAGTTCAGCTCCAATTCCGCTACGGAAGGTGGAGGTGCAATCTACGCGTATGTATCGACCGTGTCCTGGGATGGCGACGGGACCCAGTTCAGCTCCAGCTCCGCTTCAGGTCATGACGGAGGTGCAATCTACGCGAGTCAATCGGCGAATGCGTCCTGGGCTGGCGACGGCACTCAGTTTACCTCCAACTCCGCTGAAAACGGAGGTGCAATCTTCGCGAGTTTTTCGGCGAGCGTGTCCTGCGCTGGAACCACGACTTTCAGCAGCAACGTTGCGGGGAGAGACGGTGGCGCGCTACATTTGGACAATTTGAACGCCGTGGGATTTGATGTGGCATTTTCTGACTCGACGTTCATCAACAACAGTGCACAAAACGGGGGGGCGTTGTACTCTTGTCAGACTCTCTGAGTGACTTCAACTTCACGGACGCTACTTTCCAGAGTAACTCCGCCAGCGGTGTAGGTGGAGCGGTCGTGGTGTACAACACCGGACGTAATAGCCTCGTTCCTGTGCTATTTTGGAGGTGTACTTTCTCGGATAACGTGGCAGACATCAACGGCGGGGCTGTTGAAACCTTTGCGGGATACCAAGAGTTTCGGTCCTGTGATTTTGAGGGCAACTCAGCAGGTGAGGAGAGGCGGACCATTCCGAAGGCAATCTTTTTGTGCGGATGCCGTCGTTTGTGGATTACGTGCTGTCCGAACACCTTTCAATATTGCGTTGCACTCGTATTCCCTAGGCACCAACCGGCCCCCATTTTTCCGTTCCGCGAGATATCGGTGGAGCTATGAGACTCGGTGGAACAGTTGATGTCATCGACTGTGCTCTCCAACTTCGCTTACACCCGTGGATTGCCTGTTGCTGCGGTCGGGTCTGCGAATATTAGCGGTTCATCGTTCGAGGGAAACCAAGTGTCTTGCGCGATTGGCTCGTATCGAAGCGCCACAGAAAAGGTATAAAGCAAACGGCTTTTGGGTAAGTCGCTATGCTGTTCCCCGGTAGTGCTGTGTCGTGACACGGTGTCTATACCGTCGTAATTAATTCGGTGTTTTGTCGCGAATCTCTTGAACCACTCAGGTGAAACACTCCAGTCGTTGAAAGTGATATCTCTCCCACAATACCTCGCCTCCTACTACTGTTTGAAAAGCAGGAAACCAGTGCACGCTTCGAAACAGTGTGCCTCGATTGTCCTGCTTGGGACGAGTGTTCCGGCTGCTCCATCGAAAGCGGTGACGTCACGCCGACGTGCGAGGTGCCATTGGAGCACACCTCGGCCGACAAAGATGGCCTGACGTTGGAAGCGCTCAAGATTGGCAGACTACTGGCGTGCAACTGCGGAAAGCGTCATCATCCTGGCGTGCTACAACGCGCGTGCCTGCAGGGGAGGAGAAACGGGGTCGGACATGTTTTGTGCCCCAGGATACAAGGGACCATGTGAGCGCGAGGTGGCTGATAGGAACGTACGATTTTGGTTCTGATATGTCTCGGAAGGTGTGAGAACCCTTGTTTGCATCCACACGTTTCATAACCCTCTCCCAAAACCTTGCTGCCGCGTGCGCGTGCCCATGTCTACCGTTGCAGATTGCGCCGTGTGCGAAACCGGTTATTCTCCATCGCTTGCTCGTACCTGTACACAGTGCTCGAGCTCAAGACGCCAGGGACTATCGGCCGCCGCTCTCATCGTCGCGATTGTTGTAGTCTTCGCAATTGTGACCACTTTTCAATATTTGTCGTCAACGGAGCTTGAAGACAGGAACCTGACGTGCTTGCATCGAAGGATACTTCGAGCCGTTCCCGTCCAGGCATTAAAGATAATCGTCGTCGTGAGGCAGATTTTAACCCAGGTACGCCCTCATCGAACTAACCGGACTGTTTCGTGTTGGAGAAAACCCGGTGTGGAGCGAGGAAGCTCGATAGTAAGCCCTGAGCGAAAGGACAGGCACAGACTTTCAGGAAATGCATTGATGGTAGCACGCTGGCAGAAGGCTAAAGGCCGTGGTCGGGGGTAAGTGCCCCCGCCATGCCCTAAACGACAACACCTGTAAATTAGCTAATGGAAATACATTTTTCTCGCGCAGTATGCTGAAGCGGCCAACGTCACCTATCCTGGCGTGTACCAAGACTTTCTGAGCGCCATCAACGTCATCAACTTCGACCTCGGTTCCGTGCTCGCAGCTGGGTGCTTATTGTCCGACATGGACTTCCACGACCGACTTTTCGTCAGTACCGTAGGACTATTGGTTGTTGCTGGATTTTTGGCGGACGCCGTGTCATGCTGATGGGTGTAGTCGTCTTCATCTTTCCAAACGATGCGGCCAAGATAGCGATTACAATGCTCATCGCTTTCTCTTTCTTGATTACTTGCGAAATATTGTCGCCTTACACGTCTGAGCCCGACATAAGGCTTTCGCTGGGGGGTCATGTGATTGTGTTTCTCAGCATGTTTGACTTGTTGCTGCTTAAGGTGGATGTGTCCGGCGAAAGAGAGCAGAGCCAGGCTGCATTTGCTGCAGCGTTGGTGGCAGGCCACGGTTTGATGATTCTTGCGATTGTGGTCGAAGTGGTTGGTATATGTTGCGCTTCAGGGACGAAGCGAGTTGTCAGAGCAGCGGCGTCATCAGAGAATTTCCCGTGGTTGAGGCCACGCACAGGATCGGATGATGTGCCTGCATTTGAGAGCGCTCCCGCATCATGGCGGTCGTCCATGCGGGAAAGATCGGTGTCAGAAGAGCCCGGACCGACTCGAAGGGTTGCTGGGACTGTGATTGCTGTAGGCAGGTAGACGTTTTTGTCGTTGTCATTATCTTGTGTAGCCTGGTGGTCATGTGATTCTCGGTGCGGCGGTGACGTTGATGGCACATATCAACAGAGCTTCCTCCAGCCTGGTGGCTGTGGTTCTCCTTAGTTTTGCGGTTTTGTGTGTGTTTGTGCGTGTGTGTCGCAAGCGGGCAAGTAAATGGCTTCCTTGTTTGCGACCTGGCGTTTTCCGTTCTTTGTGATAATAAAAAGACATTTAGCATGGCTCGTATAGGTTTTTTTTGTCGAACCACTTTTCCCCCCCGCAACTGTGATTTTTCCCCCTGAGCCGGAAGGAACTTCGTCGCTTTCTTATCACACACCCCCCTGTGTTACTGAAACAGCCCTCTCTTCTAGCCTCACCGAATGCTTCAGCAACAGGTGTCACGCTTCTCACCGATAGTATAGCAGACTAGCTGTCTCGGAAAGAAAGAATCAGCCCCCGGCATGCCCTATGAGAGACGCTGTGACATTCTCGAACGGGTAGCCTTTCTGTGAGGTTATATATTTATGTTTTAAATTGGTAGTCGGGTGAGCTCCGCCGCTATTAGGCGGACCCTTCGAGCAGAATGTTGCCTCCGCAAAACGCAGGACAATGGAGACAGGTGCAACCGATGGGTGACAGCTTGTTAACGCTTCCGGCTGGGAAAAAAGAAGTGCCCGGAACACGGGGGCGTGAAGGGTGAGAAAGGGGGTTTCGAGCGAAGAAAATACTCGAAAACAACACGGAGGGACACCACCAATTCATTTGTGGATCGGTCTAGCTATCAAATCGAGCTGTAGGCTATTAAATTAATCATCGTAACCATCAATGGTCGGTCTTACGTACACACATGCATACGTACACGGGAGGGGGGAAACATCTACTTGTTCCGTTAGCGTGGACACGAAGGAGGGCTCGCGGCGAAAGGGCTTCCATCCTAGATCTGTGCACCCAATACTCTCTCCCCCCGGCCCTTCCCAAGTGCTCAAAGTTTTGCCTTTGGGAAATAGGGACAATATCAAACACGACGCTGTCGGCTTGATACAAAGGTTGAACCAACCAGAACTGGGCTCGGACGCGAGGCCTCACGTTTTTTGCCATGGTTCACTCACAACCCCGGCGGTTGTAAGATCGGGAAATATTTCACCAACAAGTCTAGTTGAAACAATGGCAGTGTTGCAACGTCTCTCTCTCGTCGTTAAAGGTACGAGCCACCCTTTCCCGTTGCAAGGTACTGCCCATGCAGCGAGCGCACCCCCGATGAGCAAGATTGGGAGGCAGTAATCGAGTCATCGAGCGCTTTCGCCGTGGCTAGCCGAGCTTTCATGCTTGTTGTTGACCGCCCCACTCTTTTCTGCGACCAACCGCCTTTGCCTAGCGGTCCCTGTCCATCAAAAATGGTTCGTAGGGTCACCACCGGGCTGTGTCTGCTCAGCCTGTCCCGCGGCACCTCAGTTCCTTTGGTTTGCAGGGAGAACTTGGCGGATGCCTGCACGGACGAATAGGGCGAACGTGCAGAGACGTCATCCATGTTCGAAAGTACGGGTTGCAAGCTAGTCCTAAGAAGCTTTTCCCGGTTTGATTCAGCAACACAATTCGCAGCTAGTGATGCCCGGCCGGTCGCCGTCATGCGCTTACCTCGTACGGGAAGTTTCGCTCTCGTTCCACAACAGATTCAGGCACCATTCCCTCCACCGCATAGTGGCAGTCTGTTCCCTCATAAATCATAGTCCACGGTGGAGATGGGGATGCCGCACGGTGGATCCTGCTACGCCGCACACCACGCTCACGTTCCCCGTCGTTCCAACGGATGTCAAACAGCCCACCAACCACACTGGTGGCCGTTATCTCTGCGGGCAGAAGGTTCGGCAGTGGCTCTCGGCCCGTTGATGCTTCGACCCTCCCTCCGCCGACGGATGAAAGCCTCTGTTGATCGTCGCTAAAGAAGGATGAGCCCTCGCTTAGCGATCCTCCGGCGAGCGAGCCGGCATCGGAAACGCTGCTCGTGGTGATGGTGCTGTTGGAGGCCGCTGCCTTCCGTTGGGCCCGACTCATATACTCCACGAGGACGCGGTCGCCCACCTCCCACTCGCGAAAACCGCCGCTCATGTACAAGGTATACTCCAAGCGACCATCCGGCGGTTTTCCGACGGCGTCCGTGGAAGGACGGTCCCATTCCAGCCAGAGGGTCGTGCTGTTTGCGCAGCGGAGCCTTGGGGTTGGGGCAATCGTGAGCTCCTGTTGTTGTCGTGGTTTGAAGCGATGAAGCGATGTAACATAGAGGCAAACCAGTTTGAGTCGCAAGACATGGAAGCAGGCAACGTCCCCTTGGTGGAAATCAGAGACGCAAAATAGGAGGTGTAACGTTAAGAAACCCGATAATTTCAATGTATAAACCTTGGTATGGGACACATTCCCTTGTACAGGCGTGCGTCATTTCTTGTTGACAAGTTTGGGATCGTACCACGATGGCGCTTCGGGCGTCCTCAGCGGACATGAACTCGGTCTCAGCTGCCTCGCGCGCCAACTCCAGGCCCTTTCTCATTTCCTCCTGCCTGGCGGCCCTTCGCAGGGCTTCCGCTTCAGCGGCTTCCCGTTGCTGTCTCTCCCTCTCCAAGCGCATGTGGAATTCCTCTTCAAGCCTTTCCGATCAGTTGGCACACACGGTGTGATAGCATCAACCAAATGGAGTACCACAGCAGTACAGGGCATCGTGTTTGCACGCGGGTTCCTCTGGGTTCTGTGGCAACTTGAGATGTAGACAAGCAAACGGTTGGCGCCGCTGGCGTTGTAAGAGGGCAACCAAAGCCTTCGGGTCCAAATAAGCCAGATCAAACGAGATTAAACAGTCAAGGTCGAATTGTTCGTGGTGCAACGACGACGACAGCACCACCGGCGAAACCGATCATAAAAAGCTTTCAATTTTCCGGGCGCGTCTCGCACCTCCTTTCCTTTTCGTGCGGTTGCTCAATGTCCAGCACGAGCAAGGCCCCCTTCTCGGTTTCCGCACCCAAGCCTCCGAAATACATCACGCGGTTGCCTACTGCGCATCCTGCATGCTGCCCGCGCGACTCCGGCGATGGTATCGCGTTCTGAACTTCGTCGTCTATCTTCTTCACTCTCCAACGGTTTACCTCTACGCCTGCTTCGGCCTGAACAACCTGCAAGCAGCGGAGCACTGTCGTCGTTGCGTCAGTTTTCCTGCCCGTTACAGAATGCGGTCATTTCACTGGGAATCCCTTGTGTTAAAAGAGGCTTTTTTCTGCATGAATGTTGTCGTTGCAGCAGGAACGAAGTACACGTGGTTGTCGTTCAAATGCCGATTGCGCAGAAATATCTCTATCGTTGGACTTGACATACATAGTGAACGCAATCACATGCATTACACGATGTTACCGCGGGAGAAAGCGAAAGGGATTGGCAATCAAACAAACAACCAACGGGAATCTCTACCTAACGGACATGTCAGATTCACCACTCTTCGGTCAACAGGCGACGAACACGGTCAAAGGAAATTCAACAAGCGGCCAACGCCTCGACCACTGTTGAAATTTTATGCGCATCAACCCATTGTTGAATTTCAAGGCACTGCTGAACGTTCATGTGCATCAGCCCGTTGTTGAAACTAAAACACGGAATCAGCAATTTGCCGGGCGCCGTCCGAGTGGAAACCCTGCTGTACCTGCATTGTTCTACCCCCGGGAGCGCCAAGGGTCATTGCCCGTTGCGTGGCCTCGAACAGCGCGCGCTGGGCTCGACGAAGCTGCCCGACCGCCGCGTCTAACCTCGGCCGTATGCCTTCTGGGTGTTCCTTCCCGACAGGTGTGCTCCACCGAAGGTGGTCTAGATCGAACACGCGTACGCTCCCTTCCACGGTTTCCACCCTCTTGGAGGTCGGAAGACAACCACCCCAGAGGACCACTTTCTGGCCAAGAACTACAGCGGAAAAGTGCATCCGCGCACTGGGCGGCGTTGTCTTGCCCCCCCCGACGGCCGGCGGGTTGCTCACTCCCCAGATCATGTTCTCCGTGTCTAGAAACGTCATGTCCAACTCTTTGAACGGGTGCTGAGAACGGAGCTTTGCCCAGTAAGTCATCGCCGCCTGCTCGTAGAGAACCTCTCGTAGCTCCTCCTCTCGTAGGTTTGTGTCGCTTTCTCGAGCCGCGATTGCCGCCGCCAACTGCGCTTGCCGCCGAGCGAGACTCCGCCACCTTTCTTTCTCGGAGCGACAAGAGTCCTTTGTTCTAGACGCCCGAAACGTCGAGCCCCCTTCACAGCTGTGGCTGTCCGGGCCAGAAAGAGATTCCGCAACCAATCCGCCAAGTTCCTTGTAGCTGTCGAAAGCTCCGACGGCGATCTCGGCCTCTTCCAGCTGGTAGGCGCGGTCAACCAAGCTTGCAGCGACACGTACGCGCAGATGGAGCCGATCGTGATCCGGTGGCAGCCCCTCCTCCGCCGATGTGCTCACGCAACACCCTCCGAGCACCAGCAACTGTCCCTGGGGACACGCCAACAGCACGTGCCCGTAGCGTGCAAGAGGTGGCGTTCCCACCACGATCTGCTCGGTCCAACGCTCGGTCTGTACGTCCCACGTCCAAACGTCGTCGAAGACCCGCTCGTTGAGGAGGTCTGCGCCGCCAAATAGCACGACTTGTTCGCGAACCTTGACTGCGGAGCTCCAGAACCTCGGCGCCGGGCTAAGGTCCCCATCGCCTTCGTTGTTCGTTCGATGCCACCGCATCTCCCTAACGTCCAGAGTTTGAGTGTCTCCCGCTTGCAGCCCGCCCTGAAGCCTGCCTCCGAACATCCACATTGTTTCCCTATCAAGGGCGAGGGCCGTGTGGCCGTACCTTCCCTCGGGTAGATCGCCGCTGGTGTCTGGGCAGTGCCAAGTGCTGAGACCAATGTTAAACACTCGAACGTCTGCGTGATAGTGCAGTGGTTGCTGCCGAATCCCACCACCGCTAATGCCCATGGCATCACCGGCATCGTCGCAATCGCTGCTGCACGTTGGGTCTTTTTCGTCGAGGTGGGCGTCCAACGGATGGTCGGAGTTGGTCGTAGACACCCCGCCAAACACCACTAGTAGTCGAGTATCCTCTCGCAAGTTGTCCGCTCCGTTCAGTACCACCATTGTGTGCCCTGATCTTGAAGACGGACTAGAAAGGTCCACCTTTCTCCCGGAGAGCTCGTCAGCAGGTTGCGCGCACAGCGTCTCCCACCGCAGGTTCCCCAAGGATGGACCGCCTCTGTCGGCGTTGATGGTCTTGGACACCAACGGAACTGGTGTCAGAACATCCGAAATGTCGTCCAAGGCGAAATCGATATTATCCTTCGGCAGTGGGTTCAAGATGGGGGGTCGGGCTCGGTCGTCGAGCCATTCTTTGGTGTGCTCGCAACTTCCGTGTCGTAGAGTGCACACGACGCATCTGTGTAGAGGGTCGAGAGCCGCTCCTTCAGCAGGAGCTCGATCCTTCTCCCAAACAGACAGGCATTCGTCCACCTTTATAAAAATAGCGCACGCAGCCGTACGTAGCGGAATGTTCACGGATGGGCCCTGTTGGTGGCAATGTGTCCCCCGAAGTGACTCCGGTGCTTCTTTTTCGACACAAATAACCTTCGCTGTTCTCCATGGGCGCGCGGATACAAAAATCATGCGCTTTCTCTCCCCCCCAACTCTACTTCTGCCGCATATTTTACCCTCTCTCTCGTACCGATTCTAAGATGTCGTCTCGGAGATAATTCCGCAGATCAAGCTCGCTCTCCTCCTCCTCTCCTGAATTGTCCTCTTTGCCAACGTGATTCCCGAGTTCTTTTTCGTCCGCCCCCACATTATCCGGATGTCCTTCATCGAATGCGCAACCCTCCTGCTTCCCACCGCTCCCTTCCTCGTCATCACCCTCGTCGCTCTTCTCCTTCATGATTCAAATCGGGGCCGTGGAGTGTCGGTTGTCGAGGAACGATTGCAGGATATTCGTCGACCGGGATCTACGAAATCTACGCCTCGATCCCACCCATTTTTTCGTAGATCGCTTGCTCTGTCTCAACCTCCGTCTCGTCGCACTCTGGAATCGCTCCTCTGGTGTTTTGTTTCATCCGCTACCACCGCTGTTGCATGCAAACGCTGCCCTGCAGGAGTCACAGATCACGATAACAAGATCGCTTCGTGATTGGTAAGTGATATGGTTTAGGTTACCAGCATCAGTCCAGTAGTTTGGTGTGTCACAGAGTGAGAGTTGTCCTGCTGTTCATCTTCACCCAGCATCTTCTGACGGAAGGAAGCATCGGAACGGCGGAACCGAGTTGCATCTCTCAAGGTGTGCGTCCGCCTAGCGTCGGCTTCTCTGCATAACCCAGCTCTGGAGAAGCACAGCAGTCGTGTAGAGTGACCCCATGGAACCAACCAAGCACACAAGCTTGCCTCGAACCCTTGATTCAAAAGAGCAAGAACTTCGAGCACATGTACAATGACCAAACGGCTGCTGGCACTGCTAGGCTGACGCGCCGCAGACGACGGGGCACACACCAACAGCTGCAGTGATACCCTCACGTGGGAGCCACGTAGTTCGTGCACAGCGGATCCACTGTAATACGCTGCAACCCTCGCTACACCGCCGTGCACCAAGTACGGGACTCAGCGACTCAGCGCTCAGCGCTCAGCGCCGAAAGCGAAAAAAGAAAGCGAGATGCGGCGGAACTACATGTACGCACGAGAGATTCGGAGACCGTCCGCCTCTGTCTACAGTCTACAGTCTACGGCAGTATATAACAAAGTGCAAGATTAATAAAATAACGTGGCGGAGAGTTTAGGCGGAGACCGGTAGCCTCCTTCATGGACCCCGAAAGTATTGCAGAGTAAAGAGGGCGAAGGCGCGAGCGAGACTGAGCTTGAGCGCGTAATGCTCGGGGTCCCAGTCGCATCATCTGCTTTTCTACAACTTTCGCTCATCTCTTGGCGTTCATACCGCAAGATTCGGAGAGCAGGCACCGGTCGGAAAGACGGCACCGGAGTGCCTTGAAAAAGCTATACACAAAGGAATTATTTAATTTCGTTTCCGCATCGGGGTCGGAGAGATCGGACCGGGATGCGACAAACAAAAACGAGAAAAATACATGTAGAAAAACGATCGCACCCGGTGCCATCTCTCCGTAGGTAGTCCCAGCCGGCCGTTTGTCTGGTGTAGACGGTCGGGGTCGTACCACAAGCTTGGACGAAACACACAGCATGCAAAAACATACCGACAGGATTGCTTCTTGGTGCGCGACTGTATCATGACCACGTTCCCAAACCGCTGTATAGCAGCACACAAGGCCGTTGTACGTGCGAAACCGATCGCATTCTCGTCTGTCACGGGTTTCGGGATTGCGTTGCAAAAATTGATATCACCCAGGAGCTCTATTTAATGATCTACTGTAGTCTTGGTGCAGAAGCGACAGCACCCCGCCTTACGTAACGCTCTGTCGCAGTGCCATTCCAACCTGTGTTATGTTTGTTGTCCTCCTTCAAAATCTACGGCGGTCAATCCTGTGTTATCCTCGTGAAGGCGTAGTTTAGCCACGTACTGGTAGTAGCTCTTGGACCACGTTTGCATACGAAAAAAAACAACAACGCTGGGAGAGAAAACGCTGGTACGCTAGTAGCAATCAGCTGGCAATGTTGTAACGGAGCAGATGCTCGTAGCGACAACAATGTCGGCTGTTCAAGTTTGCATCGTTTTACGAGAGCTCGCTCGCTCGCTCCCGCTTACATACACTCGCAAACAACCGCCATGCACGAGAGTACTGCTGTAGCGCTAGACACAACCCGTACTCCGCGCCCCATGTCCACTTAGCTCGCGCACACCAGTACCGACGAGCTTGTAGGCGGCGCGGGTAGTTGATATGTCGGCGCTCACCTGTGAAGAGAGGTGGTGAAGCTGAAGGCAGCCTGTCACTTATGTAGGGCAAGGGATTGCCGAGCAGTGCTTTGAACCCGGGCATACATGGGAAACCGATCAAGAGCTTCGCACCCGTGCTTCTGCTCAAATCATCTTCGCTTTTCTTGATTCATGCTGGGAGAGGAAAGCACACGCGGTGTCGGGATCAACGCGCTCATTCGAGTATTTGGGGGGTGATGTCATGGCACCGGGCCACCCTGGTGCCCCAAGGGACGATGGTCGCCTGTCGTGAGCCCTCCTTATGGCCTCTGGCTGTACCGATATTTGGATGGTGCTGTGCACTCCCACACACGTCTTGTATTTTCTTCCCACAATAGCACCGCTGGTTTTGGACGCAGACTTCTCGAGTATCGGTGGGGTGCTGGCTTGGTCGCAGCAGGATGGAGAGTCGAGAAAAGCCTCTCTCTCGTGGCCTGTGCTAGAACCTCGGGTTGCTTTTCGGTGTCTTATCGTGGACAGCACCTGCTTTTGGTTAAAAAAAAAACATCAGACACGGCTATCATCATGTTATTTTCTGCGTTCCTGGCGTGCTCGCTAAGGCATCAACCATCGTCGCTGTTATTGCGTCTCAATGGCTCCTCCTTGGTACACGCGGCAACTGCTTTGGCGATATATCGGGAGTTCATGGTGGACTAGCTTTTTTTTCATCGAAACGGCTAGTTTTGGTTGTGTTGTAGGTAATCGTTGTCCGGCACACGCCCGAGACTCGACCTGAGTGTGTGTTTCCCCCCTTCAATTAGCACCGGCCGCGCTAGCTGGCTGACCAATGAAAAGAGTTTTGGATTGGGACAAAACCACGCGAACACGTTTATTCGAGCGAAGCGAGATTTCTAATCTGGACCGCCGGCCGCCCGAGTTAAAAGGGCTGGCTGAAACCCAGAAAACTTGCGTGTCTGTACGCGCTTTATCTAGGTTTAACAGTATAGACTGCTTTGACTTTAGACTACAGGGGTCAGCAGACGCACTACTGTTTTTTTTTTCGGAGGACACAGCGGATTGCAGCAGAGAACACACGGCACTGCGGGCGACACCACACAGCAGGCAACACACGCACAGCAGACGGCGTACGCATAACAGGCGACACACATGCACAGCGGGCGACAGCATCTGGGCTCGATGCCGCTGAACTCTCTGTGGTGTGATGAGGCTATGTATTGTGCTGTTGCGCATGATTTCTTTTGACCGCCGCGTTCAACTGTCAGCAAGTTGAGGACAGCACCACATTAGTTCTCGAAACCTAGGACGCCGATCGCCATCGCACCACTTCGAGCGTGTGATCCATTGTGGTGGCTCTGGGCGTGGTAGTTGTGTTGGGCATTGGGTGCTGTATGTGGCGAGAGCATCGTGGCGATGTGATATCTGGTTTGGCTTTTTCGCCTTGCGATGCGGCCCGATTGCCCGGGCCAAATGAAACGATTTGGATTCCACGCCGCCACGAAGGTCTTCCCACACACAGCACCCATGCCTAACACAACTGTCACGCCCCGAGATATCGCATTGGAGCACACGCTCGAAGTGGTGCCATGACGATAGGTGCGCTAGGTGACGAGAACTGATTTGTGTCCTGTTGTTTCGCTGGCAGTTGGAAAAACACCGAACAAAAAAGAGGGAACAGGGGGTTCAGCAGTATGCGGGGGGTATGTATGACCACTAAAACGGGATGTGGGCGGGGGGGGGGGTAACCGGTAGGTGAAACGTTACCTAGAGCTCTCACACCAGCGCACAGCAGGTGTAGTACCAAGTGTGTGGTGTTTGCACTTTGTTTCCGCCCGCGGACGCACACGTCAGACGACAGTTACATCTATCAGCTGTCGCTCGTTGTAGCGACAGCTAGTAAATCTTTTATTTTAGTGTACAGCTGTGTTTGTGTGCTCTTTTCTTTGTATGGGTCGTTGTTGGCGAGTCTTTCTTGAGAAGACCAAGACCTTGGCATCGTGTGTCGCACGCTGCTTTCTCGCTGACCACGATTGCTTATGTAGTATTCTCGGGCCGTAATTCCTCCGCAGACCTATGGCAAGCTCCTGCTATTGGCTACCGCATGGGTCGGAGGGACGCTCTTATGCTCATGCGAGATCTCCGTGCGTGCATGGTGCGGGTCGGATGAAAGCGAGCGACCTCGAGCGAGGTAGAGATACAAGAAGGGGCCCGGGCTGACGATGCTGGATTTCGAATTATTCGCTCCCATTTCAAAATCGCCTGCTCATCGATGTTTCCCGTTTCTGTCCAGGTCACAACCGCAGCAGCGCGAGTTGCTCCTCCTCGTCTCGCTCAAGCAAAGGCTGCCCGTTGGTGTTCGAGGGAACCGAAGGGGACTGGCAGAGCTAGGCGTAGCAGCGGCGGAGACAGCCGCCATGAGCAACAACGATGTGCTTTCGTGGAAGCGGGGCTGGATACCCAGCGCCATCGCGGTGTCTCTGCTGTTCCTGCCGCTTGAATCCGTCGGTCTTGAGGCTTTCGAGCCGGGGTGGGAGCGCGGAATAGCAGCATTCGTGGCCCTGGAGGTCGTGCGGGTGGGAGCGGTAGGGTTACTGCCGTATTGGTGGAGAGAGATCGCTAGGAGGACGGGTCCGTTGACGGACAGAAGTCGGGAGCAGTTCGGGGGGCAACTTACCTCCCTCCTGGTGTCCAGCTACCTCACCTGGAGCATCATTAGATGGGACTGGCAGCTGACGAACAAGCTGCCTTTTATTCAGACGGTGGGGGAGGACCACACGGGCGTGGTGTTCAGCCTGATGGCGATCATGCTGTCGTACATCGTGCACGACACTTGGCACCTGGTGCGGTCGTGGCGGGTGAACCGCAACCGTGTGATGCTTATCCACCACTTCGTGTTCGCCGTCATCAGCATCATGGGGATGAGGTTCCGGCAGCTGCCGATACACATGCGGATTCACTTCATCATGTTCTCGGCCGAGATGTCAACCCCGCTCCTCAACGGGCGTTGGCTGATGCGCCACATCGGGCTCGTCCACAAGTCCCACGTCATCATGATCGCGACTTCCTTCTCCTTCCTCGTGCTGTTCCTGGTGACAAGGATAATGTTGTACCTCTTCATGATCCTCGACATCATCCAGCTCTACGCGGAGCTGATCATGCCGATGCCCCTGCGCTCTGTCTTTCTGGGCGCGGTTGTCGTGTCGTACGTGGTCAACCTGTACTGGGCCTGGCTCATCATTGGCGCGCTGTTCGGGAACGAGGGCAAGCGGAGGGGGGGTCCAACGCTGACAGTGAACCACCCAGACACGCAGAAGAAGTCGAAGGACGCATGACGGAACCTTCTCGGGTCATGCCACAGCCTACGTAATTTTCTATTTGGATCTTGGAAGAGAGATGGTTTTGTACCGCGTCCGTGCCCCGTGCTTGTTGGTGATAGGCTTGTGCATTCGGATCGTGTGTGTGCTTGTTTCGTGCTCTCCGGAGAAAGTCTTTAGGGTGGGAGGTGGGGGGTGTTGATGGTTGTCCTACCCTTTTGTGTGTTGACCGAGATAATTTAAGCAAATTTTGTGTTACGTTGTAGGGAGAGCTGATGATGTGGAGTAAATTAAGTCGCGACCTCTTCGCCCGTACGTTACGTGGGCGACGATGGTGGTGTGGTCGGGAAATCGTTTTTTTTTCAGATTTTTTTTTTGTCAAAGGGCAGGGCGTTGAGGCCGTTCGGACAACACGTTGTAGGCGGTTGCGCCGTTCATGAGTTTGTAGGTCGTGGGTTCTACACGAAGGACGCGCTGTTCGCTTCGCGACTGCGCTATGCAACCACCGATGTGGTGGGGTCGGAGTGCTACTTTCATCGTGCAGGCTTTTCTTGGTACGTTTGCCTATCGCTCGGCGATGTCACACCCCATTTTGCGCGCCTGGAAAAAAATTATTGAATCTTCTTTGTTTTTTCGGCTGTGTTGCCCTAATCTCCCCTCGTTCTAGACGTCGCTTAGCGTCCGGCCGAGGCGAAAATGCACATAACGCACGTCTGATACACTTAGTGTGCCGTAGGATGTGATGAGCTGTGAAAGATTTCTGTGTATGCATACAACGGCCTGCGAATGACAGCTGTTTTACGGTAGCAGTCTACTCTAGACTTCAAGGTAAAAGACGAAAACAGTCGAGGGCGAACAAATGTTAATGTTCGCGTAGATTTTTATGCGGTGCAACATCAATATGCATATATATGTGCTTGGTACACTGGTCTGCCACACAAGTTTCACAAGGCAAACATGCTTCTACAGGGCCCAGTCCTGCGTCGCAGATGTACATGTAGTGTCATCGCAAAGTCTGCCGTTGCAATGGCAGAACTGATTGATGGTTGAAACTTGCTGCTCACGAAAAGTATTAATACATGCCCATGACATGCATCTTACAGCTCTAGACTTTGCAGTTGGCAAGTTATCACCGATCGCCTCCTGGAGATTGCGCACATCTCAATCAACTTGAGCTGATGTTTATCTAGCCGAAGAGTTCCGTGCATTTTCGACGATAACGACATGATGACCACAGAATGCCGACAACGAAAGATCTTTGGGGCAATAACAATGCCTTGGAACCAGGCTCGGCTCGGCTACGAAAGATATACTGCTAAGTAGCATTATGTTTATTTAAGCACAACGCGCGTTTCTGTCCTTTCTGTCTTGACGGTGCCTGGTTGAGGATATAACGACATGGATCGGTCGATACGATCAAAACAGCACTAGACCTCGCTATGTACCAGCTACCAGCTGTCCCCCCCCCCCCAAACCAAACCGCTCTGCCTCCCTCCCCAAGAAAAAAAAACAGGCGAATAAATCCCGAACCAAAAAATTGATGGAACTCCTCAAAAACGTTCTCCGTCCAACGGCGCACAAGCCGGCAGCAGGTCCCCGGGCTCCCAGCCACTCTCTACACAGTGGTACAAGGCCATTGCGTGGTGCATAAATCATGAGGGTGGTGGGGATCATTCGGAGAGGAATTTCCTCCAGCAGGTGCGCTCAACCCTGCAACGCGCTGCTGCTTTGTCTTTGATACAACATGCGCTATTTGTCACTCACTTGCACCATGTGCTCAATGCTGTACAGCAGAACATAGAGCAGCACGCCTACAACGCTGCGACACATCAACAAAGCAGGTGTTAGCCGCTCTCCCTCGCCCCTCTGTACTCTTACTCTTTGCGTGCTATTAACTGAAAATATATTAGAATTGCTGCTTTAGCAACACTATGTCGGCTACAGCAGTACACATGTGCTCTCTCTCTCTCTCTCTCTCGTGCAATTGTTTGCGTATCATGCGAAGAATCGGCGATGCTCTGCTACATTTGTCGTGCTGTTACTGCTGTACACGCAGTTATACCAAGATGACTGTTATAGTGCGGCATGCACGTCGGCGAGACGACCGTGTAGCCGAGCGCCTACAGCACCGACACCACCGCAAGCCGCCCAACACCTCTCTCTCTCTCCCTCTCTTGTACGTAATGGGCACCTTCTACAGACCAAGGTTGGCTTATGCTGGCCCCGATCTTCCTTATGGCCTTCCCTCTCTGCACACAGCAGTAGTAAAGGCACGAACGGGAGGTTGAGCTACAAACATACTGCGGTCGCGGCTAGGTGCATGTATCGGATAAATGCCGACGTATGCCGGCAGACAAATGTTTTGTAGTGCGCACCCCAAAACCGCTCGTCCAACTCCACTTCGCAGCTCGCGCCTGGGAGAGGTGCGCAGCTCCGGCGGCATCTTTGACCCTTACGTGTACCGAGGGGCCGGGGGTAAAGGCCTTCCTCCGATGATGAGCAGCGAAGGCGTGAGGGAAAGGCTCGGCATCATGCGGAGCCACCTCAAGTCGGGAGTGTGTGCGGGAATCATCCAGGTGCATTACGGCTTTGCCTACTGCTCTCCCATGTTCGTTGTTGTTAAGTTGTGAGAAGCTGTGGGCCGGCAAAAATTCATGTAATACCGCTACTTCACTGCGTCTTTTGTTTGAAGTGTTGCCACACGAATCGCTCCGCTCTGCTCTGTCGCACTGCCGCCTGACGCGTATCCGCTCCGCTCCGTGCCGTGAGGTTTCATTCGATTTGACAGACTGAGAGCACAAGGGTCGTCCTAGGGCGGAGTGGTCTAGAGCTATTATAGTTCTTCGAAGTGTGTGATGAACTCATGAACTCATAAGCGATTGCCAGAGTTCTTATATAAAAGTGTTAACGCAATGCTAAAGTAGAAACCAACAGCAGAAATGTTTGGGTACTGTAGGTGTATCGATGTGGGGTATGGTGGCTGTTGGCTACGCTTCGATGCCATTGAGTAAGCTGGTGAACTCTCGCTTTCATCTCTCGGGGCTTCTTATGGGCGGTATTGTCCGGTCGCAAGACCGGGGTGGTGGTGTCATTGGTGCCCTTCAAACACGGTGCGTCTCGCAAGCCGCAGTTCCTTGTTCGATGTCCCGAACCCAACGTGAATCACGGTATGTATCATTATGTGTACCGTCGGTGTGTGATATGATTTTTAGTAAGTTTTTCTCCGACGTTGCTCCCTTCACCAAAGCCGCGTTTCGCGCGTTTTTTGCACTCTACAAGAGTAGCGATAGCGCTCCCAGTAACTAATATCTCGGTCGGTGGAGAGGTTCTACTTCTTCCACGAAGAATCCTAAGCAGCAGTAGGAAGGACCATTCCTCCTGCTACACACACCCAAGCAGATGTGCACAGGATGGGGACCGGTAATTTTACCGAAGAACGACCAGTGTTAGTGTGAAAGCAATAACGCCCACCCTTACGCATTGAAAACTTACATATTTCCCTTCCCTTGACAGCGGTATCCTCCCCCCCCCCCCCAATCCCACCTCTCTCCCGCCAAACGACCGGACTGGCCGCTTCAGAAGCACGTGCCGGACTTCCACGTGTCCAAGTTCCCTCCCGTGGCCAACCAGATCTTCAAAGATTTCTTCGAGGCGCACCGAAAAGGAGACACGCGCGCGCTTGCGGGCCTGACTACGGAGGAGCTGTACGCTAGCTTGAAGGTGGCAAGGCCAGAGTTAATTCCCCCGATTTGTGCGTGCTCACCTAACCTATGCATGCGATGCCTGGAGGCAACGCTGTTTGCGCTGGTGTGATGCTTTGTCCGTGCGTACCATAATGACCCAGAAGACCGTGTGGAGAACTGTGTAATAGACTACAGCTAGCCGAGAAATTAGCCGAGAAATTTGTCGCTCGTCTTCTCTTCAAGTACGTATGTCAAGGCGTTCGTCCTCCTTGACTGGGGGCTCCACGCTGTGTGCGCGCGGCCTCTAAACCTCGCTCGACACAAATCAAAGACTGGAAAAAATATCCACGCACAGCAGCTCCGTACGAACCTCTTCGTCGGTTCTCGTCCGTCACATGCTCAACTTTTTTTGTTTGTGTATGTATCAGGGTGAGATAAAATCTTCCAAGAGTAGGGGAGCACAGCGAGCCGCGTTTCGATTGGTGGACTTCAAGGAGCCTACGACGGTGCTTCAAATGCGGGTTGACCGCAAAAAGCACATCTCTCCGAAAGAGGGCTGGGGACAGGCAAGCTTCTGGGGATGGGACATTTCTGTGGTGTCTCCTAAAGTGGTTTTTCTGCGGATTTCCGTTGTCAGGGGGGCGAAGCTGTGCGATCGAAGGCGGTCACAGCTGTGCAATACAATACTACAGCAGTACCGTGCCCACCGTCTGTAGAGACGCTTGTTGAGGGAGATATATACTTTGGTGTGCTGCTTTTCGAGTAGAAAAAGCTTGGCTGGTCCGATAGCGTGTGTGGTTGGAAAGGCCACTACCAGGCGTCGACAACGTGGGTATACGACCTACTGCACACCTCTCCTTGGGAGCGGCCTCGCCTTCTTGGTGAAAGGAAGGTGTGAGATTTCGCCACTCTGCCCGGATCTTGTCGCCTCGCCCCAACGACCCCTGGTTTTGTCCCATCGATCAAATCGAATCGAATCGAATCGAATCGGCCAGGTGACCTGCAGATTGTGCAGCGAGCGACAGCTGCTGGTCGTGGACGCCAAGGGGAACGAGGTTGAGGCTAAAGCGGACGAGGATGCAACGACGGCCCAAAACGTCACCGTCGGTACGTGTCGTTGGACGTCACCGAGGCGTCCCGTCCCATGAGCCGTCATTTCGGGTCGATGGTTCTCGATTATTTTTTATTTCCGACAGGCTGATTGGCATGGCAAACTTCTCGTGGCGCAGCCCGTGTGTTTGGGTGTTGGTGGGAAATGCACTATATGCACTATCTGCACTGTAGAAATCCTTGTCATGCGATTATCTCTCCGCTTATAACACTCAGGGCTGGTCTTTGAGTTTGCCAAGGCCTCTGCACGATTGATTCTCCAAGTATGTCGCTGTGACGCGTCGATCGGCGAGCGATTGCCAGGCGGCTGCCTTTTTACAGTTCGGGCGAGCGCCAGAGGCAAATGCTGTCAGGCTCGGTAAATGATCTAGTCGATCAACTTCTGATGATGATGTTCGTCGATCAACTTCCTCGGCCCTTTGTACCACTGCTGTCGACGTTCGTCGGTGCATTTTGTTTTTTTTTCACTTCAAATCAGCGTTCACAGCACTGGTGCCGTTTGGTCCAACCCGTGGTCATGGCCACTATTAATACCACCCTCACCGCCACCCTCCCCATATTCGACCAATTAACTAACTCCCTCTTGGCCGCCCTGTCCTGTCCTGTCCTCAGGTGTATTTGAGGCGTTTTTCGGGGACTCCGCGGGAAGGTGGAGGCTAGCGCTCGTACAAGAGTTCGCGGAGGCGCCCGCAGGCGCAACTTCTGCTACCGGGAAGACGAAAAAGTCTCCGCAAGCGCAAGCACAGTGACACGGAGCATGGTTCGATCGCTGCTGGCATCTGCGAGTCGTACTTTCCATTAAAAGACTGCACCGTCCGTATTGATTGGGGTGGGGGGTTGTCCGAGCGAACAAAATGAGATGTTTCGCGGTAGGGCGTGTGGTTGCCAACTGGAAGGAGCCACGCAAGCGTGTGAATGAATGAGGCTCTCGAGAGAGAGAGAGATACAGCTGGCGACATATAGGTGTTCACGTGGTTTACTCGTTGTTGGCATTGATCAACCAGCGGTGTATCCATGGCAGGCTTACACCCTCCGGTCGCCCCGGTGGTCTTGCGGATAGCTTCGTAAACGTATTAAATAGTAACAGGTTGGAGTTCGATTCTCTCTTCGGAGTTATGAAAAGCCTTGCAAATTTGCGGTTGGAAAACAATTAATTCGTGGGTTCATTGTTACAAAGCGAAGCAACCCGCAGAAGCAGCACGAGTGTAGTTTGGTGTCTTCACTTCACGCCGAAACTCAGGCTGCGGAGAGCATACGCCTCACGCAGCCAGCACTGGATAGTTGCTGCTGCTGCTGTTAAAACCATTCGGAACTTGACCAAGTACAAGTAGTACTTGTTCTTCTGGATGCAATTGAGGTGAAGAAAGTCCAATTCACATTGACATTTGATCGATCAGAGGCCCACAAGGAGGTACAGACACAAAAAGAAATCTTGGAACAGGTCCACCAACCGTGCAACGAACGAATTCCTAACAAATAAACGATGCTAAATACACTGCACAAACCAAGCACACTACAGCACCTTCTTATCTCTCGCACCCCAGACGCCGGGAAGTGTTCATGTTGGGACGAAACCAACCCCTGGATGTATCAGAAGCGCTTCACAGATAAGGTCAAGAACAAAAACTCCCATGTAAGATCACACATTCCTCCTAGACAGCATCTATCCCCAGCACCGATACGATGGTTGTTGGTGTACTAAGGTCCAACACCAACTTGCTCGCGATTGCAACAAGACCCTCAACGAGGGCACCATTTCGTCTCGGGTGTACCCTAACACTGGCACTGTGGCCGGAATCGCGTCCTATCCTCTAGACTGACCACTTCCGCAACCGCTGCTACGGAGACCGCCGTCAAGTAGGCAAAAGCATAAGCGTAAGCATATGAGGTCGAAATCGAGGTTGTTGATCCTGATGTCACAGCTTCAAAGGTGCCCACGCCTTCCCGACGCAAGCATCGCACACGACGCTGATCGTACAACAACTTTCACTTCTATTCTAGGGAATAATAGAAACGCGTCAGGGCTACGATAGCACACACCTTAAACAACCGAGAAAGCAAAGTACCGAAGACGTGCTACGGTGCGTACGTCGCTGATTGAAACGCCACAACAACTGAACTAAGAAGAAACGCCTTCAAATAAGACGCACCTTGAAGGGTGACAATAAGAAACAGGTAAACAACAAGCCGGTGGACTTGTGTTGTTAACTAACAAAGCACCTCGAACAAGACACAAAACAAAAACAACGTACAACACCGAAGCGCGGCGACAAAACACAATGTGCGACAGGCTAAACACGGTGGATGTCAAATCAGCCGTGTGTGCAACGGCAACCAACAAAGGAATCTCGCGCGAAGGCGACAAAATTAAAATCACGAACGCAGTCACATACTGAAGTAGGAGAGAAGGGAGAAAGAACCCTCCTAGTTAAAAACGACATCACACGTGCGTACTTCACCAAATTGTGCGTTCTAATGGCAGCCCGCGTGTTGTCGAGTCTAAAACCGGGAGATAAAAGAAGTCCCGTCTACACACCATTGGCACGTACCAATGTTATTGGCACGTACCAATGTTACTGTTTCCTCCAACTGTACGGGGGCGAAAACGCGAAAACAAAATCGGACGCGCGACATGAACGTCTTTCTGGTCCGGAAACGAACACACCGTGCTTGCTTGTTGTACATCTGTCCACAGCTGCACCGGGCTCGCCGTTGACGATTGTTACAGGTGTCTTCTCTAATGCGTACTAATAGACATCGTTACATCGAGAATGCTGATACTGATGTGGTATGCAATATCCAGCGTGAGCAGGGCGGGTGCGCCTGAGATGGCCTGACGTGTCCCTCGCGAAAGAACTTTATGGCAGCGGCATCCCGATCAAGCTTCGGCGTTAGGAACGGGTGTCAAGACATACAGCGCGAAGAGGGGAGTACGGCGGGACAGGTTGGAGAGTAAGCACCTCGTCGAGATCGACCGTGAGAGCTTGGTGCACAGCTGCAGCAGCTTCCTCTTCGACGGAGAGCCAAAAGCAAACGGCTCGCATTGGACATGGGGAGTTTCGTCGCTTTCAACCAAACACCGCCGTTCAGGCCATTCCCTACAACATGTTGTACTCGTTCAACCATTGAGGTAACTAACCTACGGGACATGGCATTTAGGGACGGTAGGCTGCTCAAGACAGGCCGCGCCTGCTGCAGTGCTCGCTCGACTGACCTGGCACGTCGTACACGTCGTGGTTCTCGGTGGACGCCAGCTTCAGGTCGTCCAGCCACAGCCCGGACAACGTGGTCTGGCTGTAGTCGAATTCTGTGAGCTGCACCACCTGGAGGTACGCATCTTCGCCCCCCCTGAAAATGGCCGCGTAGTGGGCCGGCGACTGCGCGCCCGACATCAGCAGGGCAACAAGGGGAGGGGGAGGGGGGGGGAGGCATGGGGTATGAGGGTTGCGGTTTACTACTAAAACAGTTTCATGAACCCATGAGCTAGCTTCCAAGTTGTGTTTTCGTGGTGGGGGGTCGAAAGGAAAGGAGTATGCACACTTCTGGCCCGGCGCGTCCGAAGCGTACGGGAGCGGTGACACTTGCAAACACCGTTCTTGCTCTTTCGACTAGGACCCACTCCTTACCGATGGCCTGTTGAAGTATTTGCCGTGCCCGGGGGCGCCGGTTCCCTTGAAGTCGTACACCGTCGTGAACATCATGTCGGCGTGGTCGACGCCGATGACCGCTTCCACGATGTCGAACTCCCCGCAGCCCCCGTTCCCACCGGCCCCTCGGCAGTTGCACCCGTACTGCGCCGTTCGCACCACCTGCGCACGGTGCCAACAAAACGGGAATTCGTTGCTCAGACAAAGTTGGAGCAATTTGGTTGGTAGCTGCGGAACGTGACAACAACAGTACCCGTTGGTAGTGTCCACGGTATCCAAAAGAGCCGCATCGACGGCAGTTGCCCGGTGATCAATGTCAAAACTAAAACAAGAAAAAAACGGGGCAGGCAACATGCCCGTGTCTCGCCTTGCTGTTCAGAGCCCACACAGCCGGACGGTTCCAGGTGCAGTCGTCGAATCCCTCAGTGCCGCAGTGCGGCATGTCCACCTCGAACACCATCACCTTGGAGCCGTCGAGGCCGCCGCTCCAGCCCTCCATGCCCGTATCTCGGTAGAACCTGATCGATCACGCGCGTGCGGCAACGACCAGGCGAAGGTTGTAAAAAAAGAAAATTGGGTTTGGGTTTGGGTTTCGTCTGCCTTCTTCCTTCCTATCGGGCGAGACTCTCCTCTGGAAAAGCGAGAGAGCAGAAGAACATACCCTACTGTACCCTCTTGTTGGCACGCAACCGTTTCGAAAAAGCGACGTGAATGCTCTTCTACGCCAACGAAAAACCCTTGCAACAAAACAGTGCACACGGGGGTCACCCGCATGAGGGAGGGGAGGGCGGGTGACCTATATCTAAAGGACACTGTGTGCGGAGACAAGGCATCGCGCTCGCTCATTCACTCACCCGCACGTAGAATCATCCGCACACTCCGTGCTTGTCATGATGTTCACGCCCTGATCGCCGCCCAACACACCGCTAAACTGCTTGGGCTCACTCGCACACGAGCTGCCCTGAGAAATACAAACAAGCCGGGCGGGGGGGGGGAGTAGAGCACGGCCCGAGTCAGCCGAGCTACCAAGCAGCGGGCAAAATTCATACCGCGGTCGTTCTCTCAACCGTTTTGCTGCGAATTCCGCATGAAGTGGATCGCGTCTGCCAGCAGACTTTATGTTTCGTGTCTCGACGACGAACAGAGGACACGTGAAAACACGTCCATGTACACAGAGCCGCACAACGTTTGATGCGCAGGAAGATTACCAGCCGCGTGCTTACCGTCTCGTCTGCGTAGCTCTGGCTGCTGCCTCCGCAGATGGTCCATTCGCCAGAGCATTCGGTGTATCCACCTTGGTTTGTCATGAACACCAAGTTGTTCGACGTGCTGCTCGAATAATCGCACACACGACGCAGCCAAATACCGTCAAGGCGAAGGGGAGGAGCGGGGGCGTATGGGTTAGCGTCCGCGGCAGACAGCAGTACCGCATGCGTAACGTGCATCGCCTATTTTTCCTCTGCGTATTAAACTTCTGTCTGGATCATCCTATCTCGTCTCCCCGAGTCACGCTGATGCCCAAAACCGACCAACGGGATTCGGGTTTTCCGAACGGAGGAGACTTGCCTTATGCCCCCAATGGGTTTTGCCCAGCGCGGGGCCATTCACCAGGTGTGCATGCATGCATAAAAGGGGGAATTCGGGTTGGACAGACCTCGACAGCAAGCGATACTAGGCGGTTTAGCGGCGACTCTTGCGAGAGTCAACAGTCAACAAATGTCTTCTCTCTCTCAACAGGAAGTATCACACTTCTGGTCGCCTAAAGGCCGGACACACACAACAAGCCTACAAAACGCCTCATGGTCCTCTGAGGGGCACAGGCGATGGGCACGTGCACTCACACAGGTGTCCAAGCGGAGGTCTTGCTCAACGAGTCCGCTTCTCCTTCGAACCAGACGATGTTGTGGATGTTCATGGGGCCACGGAACGCTACCGAAACAGCCTCATCGAACGGAGCCAGCGTTCCGCTCACGGAGACCTCCTGCGGTTTTCGTTGTTCCAGGCACGAAGTGTGAGTAACTCTAGATGCGTTCGAGGCTGATCCGCATTCCTCGTCTCGTGGTGTCAAAGACAACCTTTCATGACTTCATTCAGACTGGTGTCCACAATATCCAGCACCACAATAATAGTGAAGCGCATCATGAAACAAAAGCTGTTGTACTTAGGGGGGTCACGGCCAAGCAGAACGCGAGACTACCGCGTTCAGGCTCGGTGACAGCCAACCGGACCTTCGCTGCGCGTAACACAGCTTTGCATCGGGTGCTCCGCGAGAATACATACGCCTTTGACAAGCCAACTTTCTCGGACAAGCCACCCCCTATGCATACACCGACGACTACAAAGCCCCGCGCGTGGCAAAAGAGGGGCATCAAAACACAAACACAACAACTCGATCGATGTGCACGCGCGTACCTTTTGCACGCATGCCGCCTCCGTGGAAGGGCAGTGCATGTCTGCTCCAGGGTCCATGCCGACGACATCCATGTACGTGCCGGTCCCACCCAGGTTACCGATGACAACGTTCGTGATCTCGGTCGCCTCGGGGTCGACGTCTGTCATTCCCGTCATTGTGCCGGGCTCTGCAAGCAGGAGAGAGAAAGACAAGCGCGAAATGCAAGGCGGCGCTACGAATCTCAAGAGGTGATTGACCCCATCGCCGACGACTGAACACGCAACAATCAACAGACACTCGACAGACAGAGCCCGTTTCATGCATAGCTTGTGGATAGATCGCCCGTGCGTGCTCAGTAAAGCGTGTGTCAAGAGTGGAGAACGTCCTCTCTTGGTCCCGCCTCCAGGAGAGGCGCCAATCAATAATTCGCACATCCACCAACACGATGTGATAACCTACATCTCCAAGTACCAACCGGCAACGTTGACCTTTAGTCGAATAGATGGCTCAACAGCGGTATTCCACCCTACATTTCCAAGCATTAATCCCCAATGTTGGTCGTTGTAAATACCATTACTCAACAAGGTAGCTTAGCTGAGTATTCCATCTCCAAGCACTAACCGGCAATGTTGGTCGGAGTGGACGATGGCAAGATGCCCGTGCTCAGAGAAGAGGTCATGTCTTCGCAGCGCTGCAAGTCCTGGTACGTTTCCACGAAAACGCTCCCGACTTTCGTCAACACGCCGGTCGCAGACAGGAGGTCTGATCCGGTCACGCCCACGTCGTCTCCGCCTCGCCCGGTGAACCTTTGAAAGGCACCGCACGGCAAGACACGGAAAACACAGCACAAACAAATTACGCCGCACATCAAATTAGCTACGAGAAGTGGCATGAAGCGACTGGTTCCAAGAAAAAAAAAAAAAACATCGATAATTTTCGGGGCAGCATGGCGCGCGCACTCAAAAGGAAACACGTCGTGTGCGTAACAAACAGGCACTGTGTACCTGCACCTCGGGTCCGGATGTTCTCGTCAACCACAATAGCAACACACAACACAGCACCCGACGGTAAGGATAACCCGGCCTCACAAAGAGGGGATGCAAAGACAAGGAAGAGACGGGCCAATCGCGATGTGTACATACTCCCATACACGCAGTACATGACTTTGCATGCGCTCCACAATCGAGAACCATGGCTATTCACCGTGCGTATGTGCGTCATCGATTGACCCCGGGGACAACCACGTCCTCAGCAAGAGCAGAGCCAGGAGCACGCCGTGGGCTAACCCACCCAGCACTCTTGAGCCAGTTTCACGTGCACAAGGTTATTCTACTGAATCTCCTCAGCACCCTCGACCCTTACCAGGCGTAGCGGGCCACCGATGGGTGCAACTCTAGCAGCGTCAGGGCATCGGCGAGGTAGGCGGCCTGGGACGCCTCGTTCATGTAGGCAGCGTCATCAGCGCAAGCAAACTCCGTGATCCAAATAGGGAGGCCGTACTTGAGGTAGCCGTGCAGGATCTTGTTGAGGTAGCGTACCTGTCGCGGAATCGATGGACCCGACCGTACGCCGAGGGGTTGGGTAATGAGAGGCGCGCTTGATCAGGGTCGTGTTGATGTTTGCATACTGATGGCTCAACACATGAGATGCGTGCACAGATAGTACCGAGGTCAACATTCCACTATCGACGAGCAACAGGTGTTGCTTGGCCACTACCGGGAGAGAACGGGGGCGCGAACACAGCATGGAGTTGCGGAAAAGAGGCAGAATGCGGCCGTGTAGTAGCCACTTTCCATGTACTCATGTAGCAGCCAGGCTGGTTGGGCGCAACAAACCAACACCGAGTGGCTGCCAAGTGGGGCATGTATGTGGTGCTTCCAATATCAACGTCTCCGCAACAACAACAAAATAGTATCACATGTCTGACGGTACAGTACGGTTGGCGAGGTAAGCACCTCGCAGGTGTAGATGTGCACAGCGATTGCAGTGACGTCGCAGCCTTCGCACGCCGAAAAGAAATCGTCCAGCCATTCGTAAGGGTCCTGTCGTGTTTGTGTGTCGGAGTGCATCACCAACAATGATGATGGCATTGTTCACGCGAGCAGCGGGGGGCGTACAAGCGGCGATTGAGTCAACTGTGAACAAAGCGCGTAAAGAATAACAAGCGACCAGATGCAATGCGGGCGCGCGTACATATGTCGAAAGCTGGAACGTACGTTCTTTTACGTTCATGTTGAACGGAGAATCCGAGGTGCCTAACCAAATTGCTCACGGCTTCGAACCACGGTAGCAGCCTCACACAAGACAACGCAGACGGGTTCACCCTTGTCCTACCTCCTTGGTGCAGTCTCCTCCGCAGAAGTTCACCGCGGGAGACACGATCTCCGCGCCAAGCGTGGCTGCCTCGCTCTTCACCGTCGACCAAAGCGCCGCAGCTTCCTGCGGCGTCAGGTTCGCCTGTGTGCCAGCAGATTTGTTTGTATCGTACGGCGGACGATCGCATGTCGGACGGCGAAGCAAGGCAGGCGGGGCATTCCCCGTATCTCGCGTTCAGTTCTCGCAGAGACGACGCTTCTGCTGCGATGACGACACAACAATCGAGATGCCCGCAACCCCCCCCCCCCCCCGGGAGCGGGGATGGTGTTGATATACCGAACACCCCCCCGTGGCGTTGGTGGTTGGTTCTACGGTGTCCGGTCATCGTTTACCTGAGAGCCAAAGTTGGGTTCGTTGAACCCGAGCATGTGCGAAGACTGGCCGAGTGAAGCCAAGTTCGCCAAGCGCGTCGAGTCCAAGTCCTTCTCGCCCCAGATCATGGGGATGTACTCGCAACCGGACGAGGATTGAGCGATCTTCACCTCCGATGCAATGATGGCCGGGCTCCAGTTGTACCTGCCAACGACAGGCGATGTCGGAAACGCACGTCAGCGTGCGATTCGCGGCCTGTATCCGAGAGCGCTTCTGAAGTCAGAGCCTGGAACGTAGGAGCCGCATGAATCGGGGCATTGGTGGACCGCCTTCCACTCAACGTCGTAAGTCCTCCAAAAAGACTGTGATGTATGCACAGGCTCCCAGAATGTTCTACACTGTTGATTCACTTACGCAAAGCAAGAGGTGTGTTGGTTGAGGTTTTCTAGGATTGATTGCACCTATATAAATACTGTACCCAGAATCTGCACGCTTTCCGACCACTCTTTGCAACTACAGTACGTGTATTTATTTATATAGGGACTGCAGTATGGAATGTCTCCTGCAAACAATCTCGGGTTTGGGCTTGCGGAACAGTCAACACATGGAACATCGAAACACCCCCTCGAACTTTTGAAACCTTTAGATACTACCTGCGACCTACAACAGTAAACCGTTCCATGTGTGAACTACTGCTGTAGCACCGATTGCACACCCCAGACCATTAGGATCAGCTCACCACCACGACATGCCGGGAGCTAGCGCGTCCAAGTCATCGGCATCCTTGAAGTCAAAGGACACACCCCTCTTGCCGTGACACTCCGTTGGTTCCGTCGCCACAGGTGACGGGTCGCCTGTTTGGAGCGAGCGTTGAAGATGTTCATTGACGCGAACACCGGAAGGGACGCGTGTCACCGTCTCTTGAAGACCACCCAGACAAACGCCGCCTCGCCACCCAAGTTTTGATTTGAATCCCATTCCAGACTCTTACCGCATAGAGGCGACCAGCAGTCTTCTTTTTTGGTTGCACCATCAATGCTCTTCGGACAATCAGAGTAGTGAGAAAGAGACTAACCTCGTATATCAGTTAGGGAACTTAAAGGAAGTCAGAAGGGGGGCGGAACACATGACCAACCTACCATTGCTTTCAGGAAACACCCATCCGCACTGGAGGAGGGAGTACAACATGCAGCAGTGTACCGACAACCTGCGGTCGCACCTTCTCGGACGGACAATTCGAAAGTAGTGAATCCCTCTTCAGAGACAAAGGCAGTCGACTCCAACGCGGCCGCCGCTTTCAGGTAGCACAGAGCTTCGGCGTGGTCGAACACCGCCACGAAGCACTCCAGCCTCTCGCAACACATCTGCCGGACGGATGGCGATAGCATGAAAGGTCAGGCAACCTGACACGAGAATGGAGCACAACGGATAGTGTACCATATTCTACGAACATGGCTTCCTTCTATCGACACACGCGCCCTTGAAAATATTGATGTGGTAGGTACAAGCGAAGGGAGGTATACCGTTGCCGGCACCCAGCAACCACTTGGCGATAGAGAGACCATGCGTCATTGCCTGTATCGAAGGGGCCTTCAACAAGTATGTAACAAGGCCAATCAGACACCGATTCAACTGTAAAAACGTTAAAAACTAGGAGCAATCTTGCAGGGAGACGACCTTCAACTACATAGTATTACCCGCACAGACAGTGACGTTCAGTGCCCGCAGAGAAAGAGAGAGAATGAAGGTCCCGCTTGAAAGAAAGTAAAAAATTTTATTGCGCGGCATCGCCACACAAAATGCAAAGCGGTGCGGATTGCTTATAATTTTTAACACGGAAAAATACTTGAGCGCCCAAACATAACGGAAATGTGCGCCTTAAGATGTAGTCTATGTACGCTTTGTGTACAGATATATTTATGCATAAAAATATCAATCTTCGAGGATCGCTTGAACGGTCCGTTACGGATTTTACCGTTACGGGCGGAGAGATGGCACCGGTCTGTGGGTGGCACCGGGGTGACAACGTGGCAACGCTGCCGAGCACCAAGGGCCGAATGAATGTGGATCGTGGATCCCGTTGGGCATCGCACCGGTCGGAGAGATCGTGCCGGGGTACGAAAGAAAAAAACGAGACGAAACATTCCAAAAAATGACCGCACTCGGAGGCATCGCTCCGTCTGCTACGGTACAAGTACTCCAGAGTTGTATACGCGAGTGGCAACCGTGGGTGTGAATACTATAAATTGGGCCAGTTTGGGCCTAGATATCGCTCAAGCAAGACACGTCCGACGTCATTGAGTGCTACACGTTTGTACCCAGCGGTAGCAGCCCGCTGGAAAAGAAAAGAAAACTCTGTCGAAGAAAAACGAGCAAAATGCAGAAAGGCTCAACCAACTGCTGTCGTGAGAAACAGGTCAGTCAAGTGGTGGATCCTAGGCCGTATCCTACCAAACAACTTCATTTTGTGTTCTGTGGAGATACACGAAGTACATAGTTCCAGAGACTATTGCTCCATGGAGGCGAGGATAAAGAAACTGAGTCTCCATGTCTCCACCCGAAAAGTTACCAAATGGATACAATAGCGAGTGGATACAACAGCGAGTTGCTGCAAAGCAGGCTCGGAGAATTTCTTTTTTGACGAAAACCAAACAAACTCATCTTGTACCCTCTAGACTTCCAAAAAGAGTTGTCTAATCCATCAAGTACAAAGGAGCCCCACAGCAGCAGTCCCACGAAACACATTGGCGATGCTCTTTAAGTTCAACAGTTGCATTGAAACGTGCTATACAGGACGTCTCTACGATCCTTCTGATCCTCGCGGAATACATGTAGCATGGTACATTGCATCAGCCACACGTATGATACGTGTACGACTTCGCTGCTTTGCTTCTTCTGCCGTTGCTGAGCTGCCAACATCGTGCACAGAAGGTTTGTGATTTGTTGAAGAACAAAACAAAGCATCTCCATATCTCCTCCCACCGATAAGGTACTTAGATTCAGCAATAAACTCAGAAGTACATGCATGCGTAGGTGAACCTTAGTGTCGTGCAATGGTTTAGTTGGCTCAGCAGGGACTTCCTGTTCGGTGCTTGGTATGGATATGGATACAGCAGCAGTATTTACCACATACTTGCAGATGCAGCGCAGCCTATCGCAGCAAGGATGCAGGCACCCGCGGAAAGGCCCGGCACATTCGCACATACATATGCATACCATGCCGGTGTTCAAAATCAAAGGTTTTATGCACAGGTTTTCGTTGAGGTGACGGTATGTACACAAGCTTGACGCGATCGGCAGGATTGAAAGGCAACCACACAGACGCGTACAAGGCTAACACACAACCTTGTGCGTGTGAACAAAATCTCATTATCAAAACACGTGGGATGAAGAATGATGTAATGACTGACACAGCGAGCGGGCAACAAGTAAATCGTGTGGAAGCGTGATTGACTCCATGCAGCGAACCAAATCCAACGGACCGAATCTGTGAGAGGACGACCAGTCCGTTGTGTGCGAAAACGTTTTGCTCGCTATAGACTCAACGGAGGGTGTCTAGCTTCGCACAAGGGGAACCGTGTTGAGAAGATGTACATGTGTGTTCATGCCTGTGTGCTAACGGCAGAGAAGCACCGTGCGACACGGCGGCGTTCGCCACGGCTGTACGGGGCCGAAACAAGGGCAAGGCCAGTGTCGTGCGTGCTCAAGAACGCGACAACCAGAACACATTTTTACCTGAACGCAATGATCCTCGTTGAATGCCACGACGCCCTTCCACGTTCCCAGCTCAAACGGTGTCAAGCCCTCATGAGCTTCGTCGCTGATGCCCGCTCCTACGGCGGGGATGGAACAGAAGGAGGAACCCCGGCCGAGAGCGAGAGCGAATACGAAGTCATAGGTCACACGCCAAAATTATCCGCGCGCACGAACAGGGGGCGGTGTTGAAATAAAATTTCATTTATCATATGATCCCCATTTGCCTGCCTTTCTCTTCGCCTGCTGTGCGCGGACTTCGAGCAAAGGCAATCAGCTCGTTGAAGTACGCATGGCGTTGACATACGCATGGCGCTCACCGTAGTTCGTAGTGGCCTCTCTCGTGACGACAGGACAATCGTAAGCCGACGCCAAGCGAAGCAGGAGGCCAAGGGCGAGGCCCAGCTTTGTCTCGAGCAACAACATATTGAGTTGATTGCTCTTCTACACGACAGGTTGCTGGACTCGCAGAAGGTATCGAGAGCTCGATGAGGGCATGAACAGCTGCTCGATCCTCCCGCCGCGACCGAGACGTGCGGCGATGAGCAAGAGCGTCGATAGCAGTGGTTGTGGTGTAGCAAAGGGAGTAGGAGGGGTGTGTGGGAGAAGCGGCCGGACGGAAGCGTTTTGAAAAGTTAGAGTTTCATCGGCCCGACCATTTCGAATCCGTTCGCAACATATATGTAGGATGGATCCCCACCCAAAAGATCCGTAGATCCGTTATTGCGCAGTTTGCGAGCACTCCCGAGCTTGTTGTATGCGTACCGTTACTTCAGCAACAGCAGTGCTATCCAAGTCACATCCCAAGTAAGGTGCTTCGCCTGGATATCTAGTGTGCATGGTGGTTGTGTCATGGCTGCCCGAATATTGAGAGAACGCGAGGAGATAGGAGCAGACGAGAGAGACCTACAGCTAATCCACGGGTGGTGTGGCTGGAAATTAAATTCCGAAACATGTGTAACGGCACAACGGCACCAAGGATTTATTACACGAGGAATTATTGTTCAAGATTTCTGCTGGAGGGCTGGAGAACCAACTCCGAGTAACGACAACAAATGAGGGCGAGCACTGCAGGAGGGATGAGGGTGGTATTTTCCTCTTGTGTGAACCCGAGAGGAGCGACAGACATGCACGAAAGGCAAGGGTAGACTGGCCACCTGAATAGCTAATTAGATGGATGGACTGGAACAATGTGAACACATGTTACCGGACTAAAACCGGTAACCGGTGAACTACCGCACACCGGACAGTCTTTTCGGCAGATGTACTCATGGACGGTTGTATTGTGTGTGTCAGAGCCGGTTAGAGGATATTTTACAGGCGGGTTCTGAGTGAATGCCTAATAATGTTGTCCACCCCAATATATTGGGCTGTAGCATGTAGTGGTATGACCAACCGCCATCAACAGGGGGGAGCAGAGCAGCGCCATCTCGCTCTTTTTTCTTACGATCGATGCTAGATCGATCCTATGGATCCATCCGACCCATAGAGGAGTGCTCTCTCATTTGGGCAACGACGCATCACCCCCAACCGTCTTACATCCAACAAGAAATATAGTAGACTACAAGTATATGCCCGCGAGTGATGAACATGCCCAACATTCCACGTATTATAGGGGTAGGGGGTTTCCCGTGCATGCCCCAAGAAACACAAGGCGAAAAAGGAAACATGTCCATAATTAAGTAGTTGTTGGGGGGGGTGAAAAGGTGAGCATGAAAAAGTGGCCAATACACACCGCAAGGTTTAGTCAAGTACATGTAGGCAGTGTAGGGTGAGGGTACATCATCAATAGGCCATTGGCTTCGTCTGAAACAAAAGAGCGTACCCTGCGGCCCGCTCAAATGCTCGCACGGAATTTTCTAGTTCGTTTGGACGTACGTCGAAATGCAACGTTTCCATCGACCGCTTTGATCCTACACTCAGTAAATGAGAGCGAAAAGTGTTTCTCTCGCAAAAACAAAAACGTGCGTGAGAGCATGCATTCGCTGATAACTGCCTGAGGTGGGAACCATCTTTTTGTGATTTTCCATGGAAAACACATCCGTCACCGCCGATCATCAGACGCCGCGCGGGTTGGTGTGTTCCCACAATTTATGGATGTGCACAGAACACAACAACACGGAGTCGAAGGAGATGTCCCCACACGACGCACCACCTTCCCCTGCATCTAGCCCCACGAATAGCAGTCGTTGTCGAGCTCTTCGCATAAAAAGCCATTGTGATCTCTGCTCAGTACCTTCAAACAAACATGGAAAATCGGAGGTCCAACAGACAAGGGCGGACGCCGTACGTGGTCAAAGGCCAACTACCGTACAAGGGTGCACGTCGAGAAAAGAAAAAGCACGTAAAACAGGAACTCGAAAAACATCATCGCAGAGGCGATACTATTAGTAGAGCACAAAACAATCCGAAAGGATATAGAAAGGCCCTGGCCAGCCAGCAGTCAGACACCAACAGCAGTTTAAGAAAGAGCGGCACACAATGTTGTTTGAACAATACTTCGAATTCTACGAAATTCCTTTCAGGAATGGATTTGTTTTCACTTTTCACGTTTTGGAGTAGCAGCACGCTGAACAGATGGCCTGCAACAATGCGGGCCGCGCGACCGCCATTGCATTGGATTCCACTCGTACATGCGACTTAGGAGGACTTGCACACCCTTTTCGTTTACGAACCACAGATGAGGCAATCAACTGAACAATCACTGGTGCTCGCTTAATTTACTCGATTCTCGGTAGACAACATGTGCCGGTATCTCTCTCGTTCGTTCGCTACTACCCGCCAGCATCTCTTGCCTTTGTGTCTTTCCAATAATCGACTACCACAGCACCCTCAACCCCGTGGTTGGAGTGATGCGATGGGCCTAGTTTACTTACGAGACACAGAGTATACATTTCGCCAATCAAGGTCAAAACCCTGAGCAATCCGAACGTGTCATCGGGTTACAATAAACAGGCCAAGCACACAGCTTCTTCTCGTATGCCCGACTCGGAGTCACGTGCGCTAGTTGCGTCGCCCCCCCTTCCATGTCACACAGCTCTCCCATCCTTTTGTCCCGTGTTCGGAACGGGGAACAGCTTTCTAGGTTTCCTCCCGCTTGGGTCCTCATGCCATCTCAAGGCGGTGTTGGATCACGTTCTTGTTCCCCATTTCCGTCTTTGTTACAAACCTAGGTGTAAGAACGGCGGGGGCGCAGATATCGCCACAAGGTAGAAAGTAAACACGGAGCATCGACAGAGTGCACTGCCAGGGACGACACCACGCTTGAAAGGCAAGGAACCTACATCGCACGTCGAGGCGGTGAGGATACCGGTGTGGCCAGTTTATTTCGTTGTCCACCAACGTCGGTCGGCATCTTGTTGTTCACTGACCTGAGTACAGCGGGGACAAATACACCGCGTCTCGGCCGCATCCAGCTCGCGGCGTTCCTCGCAGGCTTCGAACCCACCACCCCCTTTCCCGCCCCGTCCCCTTCCTCCTGCTCATCTTGGTTTGCTGATGTCGCGAGGGCAGACGCCGGCCATTGCCACGAGCGCGCGTTGTACGCCTTGGCCACGAGCATAACTTGCCGACAGCGCCCCTCAGGCGTGTCGAGCTTGTAATTCGTAGTCAAGCGCTTTTGCAGCTTCGCTGCATAGGGCGAGGAGTCCGTGTGTATGTTGTAGGGGTTTGCCCCGGCTTGGAGGAGAAAGGCGAGGCAGGTAGGGTAGAGCTCGAGGAGGGCCGATTGGAGAAGGGTGGGCCCGCTTCTGTTATTAGAATGCGGAGACCCACCGGACCGCAAGAGAACGGCCAGGCACTTGTCAAATCCCATGTTGACGGCAAGGCCGATCGGTGTGAGGCCTTGGGTCGATATGATGTTGGGGTTGGCTCCGGCAGCGATGAGAGAGCGGATCATCTGCAACATCACGGTGGGAGCGTCAACACCAAAGGAAAACGGGGAGGGTGGTCGTTGAGGGAGTACGGAAGCATGTCACCAAAGCTTCATGGATGAGCGGTGCGGCGGCCCTGGGAATGTTCGTGTGAAACAATGTGCAACTCGACTACGGCACAACAACGTCCAAATACACCACGCGTGGAGCGGATCACTCGCGAGCAGGCCTTGGACAAGACGCACTCTCTTTTTACACCGGCAACCGTGTATACCTGCACATGGACCAGCATTGGCCTTGCGGGCTGAGCTGAGATACCCTGAAACCTCAACCCTCCTTCCCCTGGACAAACGACCTGGCAACTAACACAACAGTCAACCTTAGCCTTAGAAAAACACCTTGGGCTTCTTGGCATGAACTGCTAAAAGGAGAGGGGGGTGTTGCCCATCCGGGTCTGTAGTGTCGGGATCCGCTCCGGCGTCAAGGAGTAACTGAATTATCTTGTCAATCTTGGCATCGTTGTTGTTGTGATAAGCGCCAGCTGTGCGCGGGGCACATGAGTTATAGGGCGAGCACGTAGTTCAGCTGTGTAGGTGTTGGTATGGCCGAGCGAGGTGTGTTGTCAACGCGGTTATTGCACATGCGTCTTCTCCCAATATGGCATCGGCTACCGCGCGGCAGCAGTGAGGCATGTGTGGGCAAGTATGGACCTGGTCACTTCGTCACACAAAATTTCACTTTGAATCCAAGCAAACCGTCCAGTGCTACCTCGGCATTTCAGCGCCTGACATATAATGCACGCACAGAGAATGCTGTGGCCCGTGTAGTCGTTCGCTAGAACGTCGGCGCCAGCTTCCAGAAGAGTCTTGACCGCTTCGACCGTCCCCTTCCACGCCGCGAGCTTTAGCGGGGTATACCTGAGAGCGTCCACGAGCGATATCTGTTGTTGCTACGGGGGCCAGAGACGCAGTCGATACGAGCTTCGCGTTGATCCGTGCTTGGCCGAGAGCAACTCAAGTACGGCATTTCTTGAATGGTAAATGTTAGTGGTACCCTCAATGCAAGCAATGCGTCCAATGTACAAAACACCGAAACACTATCTATGCGTAGCGCAACTGAAATACCAGAAGCTGCTGAGATTACTCGTCCAGCAGCGTGGCAAGCTCGGGCAGCAGAGGCAAACACGCGAGAACCTCACCCCTTCGTGCAGCGGGCGTTTATCTTTGCTCCCGCAGAAATGAGCATCTTGAGCACCGGTTCTCGTGCGTTCCCCCACTGCAAGAACAGGAGGCACGGGCAACAGTACACCCGGCGGGGGGTGGGTGGGTAAACACACATCAACGGGGGCCATATGGCGTACGTCTGCTCGGAATGCTGGTGTATCACACAGCCCCCAAGACAGAACGATACCGGAGCGTATTACATGTCGAGAAAATGGATTAAAGGAATACACGACGAATAGCCAGGCAAACCTACGGTCGGCATCGGCACGTCGAGAAAAGAACGAACCGTTTAACTTCGGCTGTGATACCGGAAACCTGCTGACCTTGAGATGACATACGCTATCCTGCCCACCTCTGATATATTCTACCTACGTTGATCAAATTGTAACGGACACAGGAACACAGAAACGAAAACTGCGAACAAGCATAATAGATTTTTAGAATCTAACCAAACATGAACGGGCCGTACCTGGGCTGCTGTGTGCAATGCGGTATTCCCTTCTACCGTCGTTAGCGTTGGATTGGCCCCGGCATCCAGGAGCTCTTTCATCATCCCCTCCTGCCCTTCCATGGCACAACAGTGAAGAGGCGTATGGCCTGTGTTCGATCCACCGTCAACGCTTGCCCCCGCTTGGATCAACGCCCTCACTATGCGCTCCTGTGGATAGAGGGGAGGAGGGGGCAAGTAAGGACAGGACCAATTCGGTACTTGCTACGACGCAGCGTGTCTGACCGTTCAGCCGTTCGCAGGCTCTATCCCGATATCAGGCCAAACACTTCATTGCTAGAAAATATACATACAACATAGAGAGACTGCCCCGTTCGAGATAAAACCAGTCTAAGGGGATGCGTTGAAGTCTTTACAGTGAGTGGAATCAAAACAGGCTGGATACTTGACTTCTTCATTTCTTGCTGTGAGGGTCACGTGACGCTGACCGGCGTGGAAAGATTGCACAGCGAAGACCATAAAACACTACCGGAAAACGTGAAGCAACAGCGGTATGGCACCACTTGTGTAGAGGTCACATCACATCTTGCTGGGTGCACGCAACTACTTAGGCCGTCCTCCGGAAAAAGGGCCTCTACAGACCGACGACCGCCCCCTAACCTCACATCCTAATCTCAGCCAAAAGTTGGTCAGAGTATCGCTTGATCCACTCCGCCCTTCAAAGTCTAAAAAGCACGAAAAACAAACAATCACTTTGGTCGACCAAAGGTGGCAGGTCTAAGCCACCACTCACGCGACCTTCGATTCTGTCAAAGTAAAGGGCATCCAAGTAGCTTGGTTTCAGTCTGTCAACACGTACTAAAGACTGCAGGCTTTCCTCGTCTCGCAAGGACTTCAGAGTCTACCGGTGCGCCAGCTCACAAGGGTGTTCTCACGTTGTTCGTGTAGGCGGCTGCAGTGAGGGGGGTCATCATCATGCCCATCAATGGCGTCGGGACTTCTTTGTCCGCTCCAGCGGCAAGAAGATGTTGGACAGCGCTCACGCGGCCGCTCGTTGCAGCAACGCCGAGTTCTCGCCCAAGTTCCTCTCTCTTTCGCGAGCTTGGCATCCTCTCCCCTTGTCTACTTCAACTGGGCTGTTGTACGACCGTGGCGCTTTCCAACAATTTCGCAGCGTGTTCCCTGTTGTTTAGGCGCGCGTCATAGCCAGCGCACAGGTTAGATGAATAAATGCTTTACGCTCACGGGACAACGAGCTATCAAACCATCAACACTCTTGCGTGTGGAGTGTCGGCAGTCGGCAGGCGGCAGGCGCATGCGGTGTGTTCTGTTGTTTTTTTGCTCGTCGGAAACCCGGAAGTATCGGCGTTCAGACAGAGAAGATTTGACCCCTCGGAGGTGCAGCCTTCAGATCAAGGGCCTACGGCCCAGGATCTACTGTAGTTCAATCTTGAACAAACACCGCCGTGCCCCGTGGCTCCAGTGAGTGGGTCTGTGGAGGTAGACGCGGCAGAATAACCTGCTGGTGGTACAGTCGAGCCTACGCTGCTGGGGTATCAATTTTTCCAGGGCTTTCTTCGTTGACGGTTTTTCATGTCGGCATCATTTCCCGCGTTAACCAGAAACCACGGAACAAAACAGTATTTTTTGGGCGTTAACTGGCCACCACGGCACAGTACAGTAATTTGGGCGGTAACTGGCCACCACGGTAAACTCCGTACGGCAACTGGTCACCACTGTAAATTCCGTACGGTAACTGGTCACCACGGTAATTCCGTACGGCAACTGGTTACCACGGTAATTTTCTTGTGCGGTAACCAGCCACCACGTTAATGCACAGAAATGTGCATTTTGTACGGTAACTGTACAAGTTGTACAGTTAACCACACCATGACACGTCTGAACGGCCAATAAAAAGAAAAACACATTCCCCAAAATACAAAACTCCAAAAAAAGAAAAGAGATGACAGCGAAAATAGAGAGAATGGGGCTCGAACCGTCCGTTTCCAGAGGTCTGTGGGCTTGGGCGCCGACCTATTCGCCCAGAGAGGCAGCGGTCATTTGATTATGACTCCCAGGGGTCCACTTGGTGTTTCTGTGCGGGAATTGGTAGTATCTTGTTCTTACGGTAATGTACTCCGCGGTAACTCGAAAGCACGGGAAAAGCGATATTTGCGCGGTAAACTTTTGTACGGTAGTGGGAAAACTCAATTTGTTCGTTAAGGGTTTGGGCGTTAATGGTAATTCTCATTTTTCACGGGATCACGGGAAACGGTAATTACCGTGGGTTTACCGCAGTAAAATTACCGCGGAGAAATTAACGAAGAAAGCCCTGAAAATTTCAATGATCCTAGATCTTATTATTGTTGTGAACACAAGTTATGGTACTACTTCGGAAGATTGAAAGTGTCTCGGTCAAGAGATCGTTTGGATACATTCGAGTTCATAACTGCTGTGCTGTGTGCAGTAGACGAGCATGCAGTTGCTCGGCTCGGGGAGAAAGATCATGAATCCAGCGTGCACGGAAATGTTGCATAAATTGTCCACCTCAACCTTCACCCCGAACAACTGACAATATACCTCTGCCTTGTCGGTCAAGCTTTTGGACACCTTGAAGCAGTTCCCCTTGTCGGAGACCAGCGCAGAGAGGTAAGTAGTGGTGGTTACCTCCGCTGTGTGCCGCTCTTGGGATGGCCTTTGGTTGTCTTCGGCCGGGGGGGGGACACGAGCACAAGAAAATGCACCCCCCCCGGCCAGGAGGGTATTCCAAAGATACAGAGGGGGAAACGACCAAAACACGAGAGAGGAGGGAGCCGGGGAAATTACTGGCCAGGCTACAATAAGAAAGCCGGTAATAAAAAGAAAAAAAGCTCTCCCTAAAAAGATACGTGAGGCAACCAAAGAGAGAGCTCTCACGACACACCCTACTACACTTTTCGAGAGATAAAGACTGAAGAGATAGCACCATGAAGACCTCCATGACCTCTGTCGTTGCGTTGACCTCGGCGTCCTGCGCCGCTGCGTTCGTTGCCCCGTCCGCCTTCACTGGCGGCGTGGTCTCGCAGCAGGCGAAGTCCTCTTCCTCGGCGCTCAGCATGGCCGCCGGCCCCGCGTCTTCGGGAGGGTCCTTTGAGAGTGCTATCGGCGCCCAGCCGCCTCTTGGCTTTTACGACCCGGCGGGACTCTTGACGAACGCTGACCAGGAACGGTGAGACGGTGATGTGTGGAGAGAGAACTACGTATATCGATGAGCCATCAAACCGCTTCCTGTTGGTTTGGGTTTGTGTGGTGTGCATCCCAAAAAAACATGCACGAACCAAACTCCCATCACATGCGTTCCTTCATCTCCCACCCGTTGACTGACTTGCGTGCTCCATCACGGAGCAAAGGTCAAGGCAGAGAAGGCTTAGAGGCCTATACAGCATCTTGAGATATTCCCAGTGCTTGTCTCGAGAGACGACCTGATACTGCTCTGTGACCTTCAAACGCGAAAGCCTGGATATATGAGTCAGCGCGAAAGACAAGAATGAAGCATGTTGCACGTTAGCAGCAGGTAAAACACAACGGCGATGATGAAGTGCAAGTATGTATGCTACGTAGATAGGTCAACCACACATTCACACGAGATGCGTATGCATCCTACAGCTGTAGCAGCAGGAGTGTGTGCGCAAAACACGAGCAGCTCTTGAAACAGGGAGATAAATGATACCGCGCCCGTTGCTGTACGTTCGTCCGATTGGAATTGGTGTGATGGTGAATTCCTCGTGATGGCACAGAAGCAGTCGCCGCTGCAACGAAGTCAGGAACCACAAGTTGATGCTTTTTGTCAGAGTATCTTACGAGATGAAATGACTCACTGCCGACTAGTCGTGTCACATGACCAGATCCGGTGCGAATATCAGGAAAACACCAAGCGCTCCCTTGACAATCGCATTGGATTGACAGCGGCTAGCGATAGCAACTCATTTTTGAGCAAATTGTTTTGTATGCAACCGTCCACGTCTAACCTTGAAGTGCATGAAAGAAGAAAAAAACTCGATTGCACGTCGCGGAGCCGTCAATCACAAACATATAGTCTGTACGTATACATACTGATTTCTGCTGTTACACACAAAGAAACTTGAAAATTGTCACGATACACGGAGTACTTGATGTTGGAAAACAAAAAACAACCCAAATCGTGCAATCACAAAACCTGGCAAGTCGTTTCGCGAAGAATTCTGCCATCAACGCTCCACTCTCCCTCAAATTGCAGTGGTAAAAAACCCGATCGTTTACAGCAGATGATAATGCATTCCCTCTGTCCATTCTAGACACGTGTACAGACGCGTGGATTCCAGCCGAAGGTGTCGGCGGCGCGAATTTTACAGTATTTTGTGAGGTGTGCCTATTTCATATTGGAGACCTCAATTGCCGCTGCTTTCTGCTATGCATAGGCAAGAATATTTATATTTTACGACTTGATCGATTCTCGCTGTACATCATTGGAACTGGAGTATCGGCCCATATGGAGAGTCCTTCTCGCTCAGGCCGCCTGATCACAGATGAAAATGAAAATTCGCGTCGAGCACTGGGGAACAGCTTCAATTCCGTGTTACCGTCTAATAATATTTAGCACGTTTCTCTCCCGTTCAAAGCAATAATCAAGGGTATTGTGTGTGCAGGACCACGTGATGAAAAGAACCAGGCAATCAGAGGTCGATTTGCTTCCCCAGCTAACAATATGAACATTGCGTTCTTTTTCGTTTTCCTATATATGGGGGCAACACATGTACTCGTACTTATATACCTCTCTCAGCTCCTCGGTACGTACAGCTGTCACTCGCCGTCCTGAGGGCTCTCCGAACCTGCGACGTTCGTGATTGCATGAAATACGTGTTGCATAGTATAAATGCAATAACTACACTGCCGTGCGGTCGCGGTAGAGTTGATACTCGTGCCACAAATGACATGGCTGTCGTGGTCTCAACTCGAGACGAAACGCTTTGTTGCTCGAACGAGGACACTCACGGTACTGCTGTACTTGGTTTGTCTTGCGACATGAAATCAGGTTCGACCGCCTCCGGTACGTGGAGATCAAGCACGGACGTATCTCTATGCTCGCTGTGGCGGGTCACCTCGTCCAGCAGAACTTCAGGCTCCCGGGAATGTTGTCGACCTCGGCCGACCTCTCCTTCGCGGACATGCCAAACGGGTTGGCTGCCCTGTCGAAGATCCCGGCTCTCGGGCTCTTCCAGATCATTGCCTTCATCGGTTTCCTCGAGATCGGTGTGATGAAGCAGAAGGAGGGTTCTTTCCCGGGTGACATGACCCTTGGTGGCGAGCCGTACGCGTGGACTAAGTTCTCGGACGAGGTCAAGGAGCAGAAGAGGGTGAGTCCACCATTTCGGCATTTCATTGCGTTCTGATTTTTCGCAGCGGTGTTTGATGGATGGAAGAACATCAAATACCGGTGAATGTGCTAAAAGTGGGTGTTCGCTTTGCCGTTGTTTTGCTTCAGCCATCCTACACAAGCTTTCGTGCGCATACCATTGTAACATCGTGGAAGTGTAATGAATTTCTTCCCAGGGTATGCAACATGCCGTTGGTCAGCTTTGCGAAAGCAAGCACTTGCGGCTTGGCTTGGTGTCACTCATGCGAACGTTGATGCTCTGGAGGCGGTCTTCTGGCCCACTCGCCAACCGTTTGAGAAGGTTTTGACGAAAAAGTACAGGTGCAGCTTGGTCTAGCATCCGCATACTCACATTCAGGGTCTAATGTGATACTTGTGCCCTTGGTTTCTCTCGACAGGCGATCGAGCTTAACAACGGTCGCGCGGCGCAGATGGGCATCCTGGGCCTCATGATGCACGAGGCGGTAAACAACCACCCGTATATCATCAACGTGAGTTTGTCCACATGCATCTGTCGATGGTTGTCTTCGTCTCTGAGCAACCGAAGTCGATGCGAGGTCATTCTTTGCAGTCAGTCGACGTAATTTTACTTAATCGCATCTCTAGGAACTCCCCTACGCACCCTCCGAGTCCCGTGTTCCACTTAACGGTCTTTGAGGTACGTATATTGATGAACCAAGAAGTTACTCGTGTTCAGCATCTTTTCCCCCCGCCCCCGGCCTAATTTGTCGCTCAATCCCCACTGACAAGCGCGTGTTGTTTTCTTCTTCGCTGCCGCTGGTACATGCCGTGCTCGCAAAAACAGGACCTCCTGGGCATGCCGTACACGTTCAACTAAACCACATGTAAGTCCTCACTTCGACTTGTTGACGTAGACAATGTAGCGCATTGGTACAATGAGGCCTTGTTGCCATTGATGATGCAAATTCCATCAGTACTAGTTTCTGGAGAATTGCAACAACGACTAAGCAGCTGGGGCTATCTCGCAAGTCGTCTTCGGCGTGTAAAACTTGACAGGGTTCATGTCATACACACCTTAATCCCTCCATTGTCCGGAAGGTGAAGCATGTTGACATCTGATGTGTTTCGTGTCGGACCGCCTGCGCGCTGTCTCTTGTCTGGGTCTGTATCCGCAGGTCCCACCGCCAGCTACTTACCTTCTAATCTAGGCGTGGAGTCTTCGACGATGCAGTTGTCAACCCTGTGCTCGGGTGGTGCTCTGTGACTATGGAGCTGCATTGTTGTCAGCGTAGAATCGCATCGCGGTCGAGTCATCGACCGGCAATGCTCTTAAGCCATCAATGGACTTCGGGTCGCTGGGGCGGCTACTGGTTCAACAAGATGGCAACCATAGTCACATCACTGTTTTTTGGGTACTACGTTGTCGAGTACTCATTTAAATTTGCTGGCCTAAGTTTTATGAGTCTGCAGAGCTTATAACGATCGGCTCAGCTTTTTTGGTATACTGCAGAATGACGGGTTAGGAGTCATTGCTGCCAGTCAATAGAATGGAGGACCCAACCGTAACTTTCTTTTCTTTTTTGTGGTCTGTTGGCCGTTTTCTTGGCGGAATCACAAATGCTTGTTGCTCCATGTGCGATGCCTGGGCGATTTCAGCCGAAAAACGACTTGTTGATGCCCTGTTCACGGACATGACGCCCTGTCCCATGCAGTTCTGCCATACAGTGGCGCCACCAACATTTCGCACTAGACAGGCTGATGTATCGTGCGATGAACAACCACGTCGCTTTGTTGTGCGCTTGTTGATGTCGTCGGTACCATGTCGGAACGCAAGTCCGACTTGACCGATTTGTCCGGTCACAAGCTCATATGTGCATGAACGCATTCGATCGAGCTTCACCCCTCTATTAAATAGTGCTGGAAGCCCGAAGGGGGCACTGCACTCAAATGCCTAATGACCGCACTGTAGTCACCCGAGGCTCCGCTGTGTGCAGCGCATGTGAGAACCCTTGGTATCATGCTTGGTTGATGTGTACGCTGTGTGATGCCTCTCGTGGGCCTCTGACTTGCTGTACACATCTCCCAACCCGCGTGCCCCCCAGGTCGTAAAGCTGTACATGCAGCATGACCTGGTACCTGACTTGGCTTCAGTATGAAAAGTGTCCCCATACGCTTCATTCAGTATGAGTAGTGTCCCCAAATATCGTGGAGGACACTGTTTATACTGAAGCCAAGTCACCCCATGTCTGGCAAGGAGCTCAGATTCTTTGGGAAGGTGTATCTCCTCGACGAATGGTTGATATTCAATTTTTCGGCATTTGTTTTTGCGGAGGGACTGGTGTCTAGTGTAGGAGGGTTATATCTCGACGTCAACAGAATATTCACCGTAGTGAGCAAAGTTGTGTAGCGGCAACTCTCAAAATATCCTCGTGGTTCTGGTCACGGCATCGATGAACACGGTGCTCGCCGCTGCAAGACGAAACAGGAAACTGGTACGCATCCTACACGAATCTACAATTCTTCACGGTAGATCGGTACCTGTAGCATGTACAGCGAGTCTACACAAGCATGAGGCCATGTCTGGGCATGGCCTCCTTGTGCTTATTACGCGCATACGTTGGCACGGTGGAACTGTGGAAACGCCAATGAACCACTGATCAGGCTCCTTGCCAACAACACAACGCATTCAGGAGAAATCCTGCGCGGGAGTGTTGAGCGTGAAGGCCACATTCTCGAACCTGGCCGATGAGACACATTCGTTCCCGCGTGTACGCCCACGAGTATCCTTCTTGCACGTCCATCCACAGACGACCTACTATTAACTATGTACAACAACACCGCACGCGGGAGACAGGATCGAATGTCCCTGCTATACATCCTCGGGGACAATCAGCAACCGACCACCGTGACGAGAATCATCTCCGTCACTCTGCGCGTCGTTTCTTCTGACGCACCCATCAAACGTCACCATCATGGGCTGAAGATCGGTGTGGGTTGATTTGCCCAGTGGGCCCACCTATCATTTTGGAAAAGCAGATGGCAAACAAAAAGGCGTGTATAACTAGGGGCAAGCGATGCACATGGAAAAGTACGTTTCGTTGAAGAACTACCCGAAATTCCGCAAATTCGAGGGCCAAGCGCCGATTTACCGAGTTCGCCACCTGTCGTGAATCTTCTTGTGGGCACACAAGCGACACACCTTACCAGCAACGGCGACGCTCTCGTGTGCATGGCTGACAACAACCCTGCAGCTGTCCACGACTTTCCAAGGTACAGTATCTACAGAGCGACAACATGGCGGCAACGCTTTGTCTTGCGCTAGTTATCAACAACTATTTGCACAGCTCTTTCATTCGTTATCTCGGCCAACTTGGTGTTTGGGTAGTCCTGGGCACGGCTCAGCACACAACAAGCACCAACCTGACGCACAGCAGCGTCAATTTCTGCACGTCACCCGGCCGTTGTCGGGTGTCATTTCATCCGGTCGTTGGTTGTCTGCGGGCCAACTGCTTGCACAGAAGTGGATTCAGCGTCGAGAGAGACTCACTTGGGATTGACGCAATTTGTACTGCATGAAGTTGAAGCCATGCCTGACAGCGTCGATGGGATGTCGGAAAGGGCGCCATGCAGCACCCTCCAGCTGAAACCAGCTGTCCTCGTACATATCAGTCCCTACGATGAGAAAATGCAACACCCATCATAACAATGACGTGACCGGCAGAAACAAAGCAAACAAACAGGTTTGGATTAACTTGGTAGTATTCGGCAAAGGGTTTCTGGGGTATGCCTAACCTATTCACGTTGTTTGGGCCATTTCATGCACTCCGTGAGTAGTTGTCGGGTACTCGCACACAAGGGAAAAAACATCAAACTACCGAGCCCAACCCAATCAACGCGGCGTAACCCCTACTCCCCACATACCCCAGTCAAACCCAACCCAAAGTAACCAGCCAGCCCTGCCCGCCTAGGGGAGGGGGGGAATAACCTAACACGGTTTTCAATCGTAGGGTCCTGCGCAGTGGTTCGTCACAATACATGTGGTGGTGTGCATACTGCTCGTAAGAGGTGTACCACACTCCGATACCGAGGATCCAACTCACAGGTTAAAATGTTTTGGGTCAAATGTGGACGGGTGTCCAATCGCTTTGATGTGCAAACAATCTGTACTATCCCATTCTCACAAAACTCTTGGGTAGGTAGAGTAACGGCAGTGGGAACAATCCTCGATTCGTCTTGCTCCGTGACCACGTTGAAACGACATCACCCCAACTCGTTCTACCCATTAAATCGTGTCAAGTACTAGGGCCGATCGTGCGTTGATTGGACAACGGTTGAGCTCACCTGTTAACACGGTTCGCAGAACGGTTCCTTCGGGAATCCCCAGAGTGGAGCGGGTGGAGAAATGGCTGCATGTTCTTGCATAGGCGTCCTGCATACTTTCGAACCATCTGTAGAACCAACCTGGACGAGCATACAAGATTCAACAGGCATTGAGATAGGCCACGAGTTGCTTCCGGACAACTTCGATCAGCAGGTCAGACAGAACCACTACCGGCACGGTCTCATCCGACTGATTGCTTTCGATCTTCTTTTACCTCCACTTTAACGTAGCCTCATAAAGCGCGAGGTCTGAGGAGAGCGCGGAGAGCGAAAAAGTAAAGTCCCACCTGAGTCTCCGGAGATGACCACGTTGGCCCCCTTCAGCATCTCTTCCAACATCAGTGCATGAGCTTCCCCTTCGCACACCCCAAGTCTACGGTGCGGTCGCTCAGCCTCGGCGCTCTTGTGCCCGCTATCGCTTGCTGCTGCGAACGCAGTTCTTCTCTGGCCCTGTAAATAGATCAGAACGAAGTGTGTTGATAACCGCGCTGCATGGTAGGAACGAAGAACCACCTACGTTTTTCAGATGCGCTTTGATTCATACCACGAGAGACGGGCTGGGTTCCTTGGTCCCGACGGTTCTAACTCAGGTCACGAAAATGCATGAAAATGCCACATCTTGAATATCCTCCCTCCACAAGCGCTTCTGGCCGAACACTAACTTTGCACGGCACCTTGAGATATGCATGTGACACACCACAACACACCTGTGGGTGGTCTTGGGTGTGCACCACGGGGGAATGGCAGAGGCAACGGCACAGACGCGCCGTGACAGTCCCCAGCAGCTCGAGCTCCTCCTGGACATGGCAGAAATGTATCCAAACATGCGCATAAAAATATTATGTCAGCACGAGGAGAAAAAAACGGAATCGACGTTGGACGCGAGCTCCGTCTGCAGCCCACAGCGGCCGTGATTTCTTTCCGGCGCGAGGCGCTATCCGCAAAGTCCATCCGCAAAGTCCCCCACAGCCATGAGCTGTGATGGGAATAACACATTTGTAGCCTGCAAAAAAAATCGCTGTGACAGTCTATGCTACATACTACAAAACAATTCATCGTTTGAAGCCTCCGCTCAATGTTGCGACACCACAGATGCAAATACCGTGTTACAATGACCAGGTCTACTTGTTTGCCATCAACGAATCACTAGCGGCGAAGGCATAGTCGTGGAGGCGGTATGGAGTAAACCCCGCAAATACACACATACAAGAACCGTTGAGTGTTCCAAAAAACAAACCAACAGCTGCCGTGAAACGTGTGTGGTATGCACCATTCTGCAATCCCTTCTTACCTCTGCGAGGTGGTCAAGACGTGGACAAGTTCGGCCAGCGACAAGCACGGAAAGTCTCAAAACGCAAGCCTTCTTTTCGTTAAAAAATGGTTGCTTTCGTTACAAAACAGTCGTTCTTCTGTGACCGCTGATCGGAGTGTTATGTGTAGGAGAGAGACACGACAGCGAGCCACGTAGCAAGCTGCATGGGATACTTGAAAAAGCGAGATGCCGAAGAGACAAAAGTGCGTCATTCTTTGACAGCATACCTGGAACAAGAGGAGGCCGTGCTTTTTCGCGGTCTTGGCATCCACCGTGTAGATTAGCGGGCAGGACTCATGACCTTCGGCAGAGCCCTGAGGTCTCAAGCGACGTTGTCGCAACCACTCATCCGCACGTTCTCGGTGTTGCCTTGAAGCCTGCGATCCCCCTGAGAAACCACCCGACGGCATTTCCTCGCTGTCCCCATACCCTGCCGAAGAAAACCCTCCGCGTATTCGTCCCAGGTCACGGTCAACACCGACTGGACTGCTGTTACTGCTGTGTCTTTGTCGGTCCGAATCTTCTTCGCCATGTCTTGCTTCCCCCCCAACGACAGGCTCACCATCCACATGCAGCGTTAATCTTCGCTGCAGTGGCGACTGCCAACTCTCAGAAAGTCTCCCTTCCTCCACCACGTAAAACGTTGTTTCTTGCAAGAAAGCAACCAGCTGTTGGGTGCGTACACAAGTCAAGAGAAGTGCACGAGGCCGGCGTCGTCACCGCGTTGAAAAAAACGGCCGGGGGGCATGGCCACGTTTCGCGTTGGCAAGGTGCAACATGGTAGGTATGTGATCAAAGCGTCGGTGTGTCTGTGTGCATGTGTAGTGGGTCCTCCTGAATGCACGCTAACATGAGGAAGTGGGATTTTGCACCCCAGCAGCTCACACCTGCAGGCCTTGTTGACGATCAACACTGAAAACAGGAGGACGTTCCTCGTCGTTTCGTCGGAAAGAGATCACGAGACCATGAGCCGTGCTACAAAATATGGGCTATAAACTAAAAGGTTTTGGCAAATTTGAGCCGTATGCATACATAGCTTTTCAAATTCGGCGTCACTTCGTATTTTGTCACCGTTTTTGCTGCCAGGGCCGTGCACGCAGCATTCTCTACATGTAGTTGTATGTAGGACTACAGTAGAAGTCAGGCGGGACACCTTCCAGCCTGCAATGCGCCGGTTCTACACAGACTGCAACGCCCGTTGCCGGAAAAATATTTCACCTGTTTTCGACTGCGGCGTAAATTGTGCTGAGCTCGCCATTCTATGCAGGCAGCAACAATCCAGCAGAGCCAGAGTATCAGGAGGACCTGCCCCGTTCGTCTGGGATTGTCGTACGCATGCAGTGCGGTGGGTTGTGGGTGGATACAAACAGTTAGTTGTGAGTCGGTACATGTGTACATGTGGTCCATCGCCTCACACCTCTCTCACAGAAACGCGGCGCAATCACACAGGTCTGCGTTGCGGCGACATCACGAATCAATAGGCCTGTGCTCCGTAGGTGACTTTTTTTTTTTTTTTTCGGTGATTTTTTCCGATTACCAAAAAAAAAATCGGTGATTATTCTAGCTGCACGAAAACGTTTTTCGGTGAAAATCGGCGACAAAACAAAAAAAAAGGTGAGAACCATACAAAACTTTTTCGGTGATTTTCGGTGATAAATTGAAGTAATATTGGGGTGAGCTGCCGAAAAACGTTCTTCGGAGATTTTCGGCGATGTTTCGAAGGATCGTAGTAAGTAACGTCAAATATTAAGCAAAAATAAAAACGTTGTACGAACTCTGGTGGTTCTTTTTGTACGCATGTATCTCATCGTCGACTCATCAGAACACCGATAGATGCCCTCCGGCATGATTCAACTGCTGACTACCTACCGACCTGGTACACAGGCACGCACTACGCACCACGCACTACAGCTACAGATCAGCCAGAGCCCGGCTCGCCCAACAACGTAGACAATAAACCAAGAAGCTCCATCACAGGTCACCGTCGCCATCCTCCGGGGCATCCTCACTCCCTTGCCTCAGCCCTCTGCTACTTCCTTCCCCTTCCCCTATTATTGTACTTCAGTAGTGCGGAAGCGCATATATATGCGGTCGCTGTACACCGACTCTTGACGTTCACTAAAGCAACACCGCAAGATGGAAAAAACGCGTTCCATGAATGCTGACGACGGCTGCAGAAGAACAATATCCAACACCAACTCGTGCCACGTAGGGAGTTGTCTCTTGTTGTTGCTCCAAAAAGTCATGTTGTCGTAGTCAGCGTCGGTGTCGGTGGAGGCGACGTAGAAGTCGTTCTTCTCCTTCAAAAGTCCGTCCACCATGTCATCGCCGACAAAGGGGAATACCGAGAGGCTGCGGATCTCGTCATTGGAGTACTTGTGAGTCTTCATGTACGTGAAGTCCACGAGCTTTGCGGCTTTGAAGAGCTTCATTGTTTCAGCCAGCTTCGCCTCAGAGTGGCTGCCGATCCTCTCGTGTGCGTACGCGCGGGGACGGCCAGGCGCGGGGACGCTAGAAGCACCGGCTCCATTGCGACGCTCACTGTCACCTTGGGCGGCCAAGGTGCTACGAACGGCAGCACGGGCTCTGACACGATGATAGCTAGCAACCCAAACAGCCGCTGAAGATCGTGGGACACCAGCAGTAGCAGCCGCCGCTGGAGCCACCGCCGCCGCTGGAGCCGCCGCCGCCGCCGGAGCCGCCGCCGCCGCCGCTCCAGCGGCGGGACTGTCACCAACAGCAGACGGCAGGCGGAGACGGCGCTCGGGAGCACGGGACGCGGGTGTCGAGCGGGAGATAACCTCACAATCTTCAGCAGTTGCTCCAGCAACGGCAAGGGGTTGGGCATTGGCACTGCCGCCGACAGCAGAAGAAGGCCGACGGCGCTTGGGAGCAGGGGAAGTGGCTGTCGAGGAGGAGAGAAGCTCACATTCGGAATCTTCGCCATCACTACTGCTGGAGTACAGCCCTATTCCGAGGAGACCGCTCATCTATACCACAAGTGTGTCCGTACCGTTTACCGTGGGTGGTGTCTGCAGCGCGGTGCTTGGGTTGCGTGCGCTGTGTGCTGTGTGCTGTGTGCTCTGCTGCTGTGCTGCTGCGCTTGAGGGGGGGTATCTGATGGGATTTAGGGGGTATAGCCTGTATACACGGAGCCCCCTAAAAAAAAACGGTGAAAATCGGTGGGCGCCGGCAACAATCAGTGAGGCACCGCCCGTTTTCGGTGATCGGCCACTTTTTTTTCGGTGATTCAAAATCCTCACTTTTTTCGGTGACCTTTTCAAAATTCGGTGATTTTCGGTGATCACCTACGGAGCACAGGCCTACGAATCAAGAGTCAACACAGGTACAGATTTAGTTGTCAACCAGCAACCAGAGAGTGGAAACACTTCCTACTGACCTTTTCGTGACCCGTGGTATCCTTCTTGCAAACGGGAACGCGCATCTTCTCGCCAGTACTTGTATACGGTGCACCGATAGCTCCTCCGCGGGATGATCGTGGTCATTTTCACCTTGCTGGAACAAGAACGGCTCGGTCTCGTTGGGTCCCTCTCCTCGCCCAAGTAACCCCTCGGAATCTCTTCGAAATGTCTGCGATCCGTTCGACAATCGCATGTCGTGTTGTCGACAAAGCGCTCAGCTGGGCAGAGCAGCAGCGCCGGGAGACAGAGCATCCAGCGTGGATGTAAGAGAAAACACTTGCAGCGTGCCCCCGCAACCAGAACAAAAAAAATCAAGTGGGGAGGGGGGGGGTTGGAGGCCCCCACGACCCCCTGCAGGTGAGCAACAAGCAAGACACCGCGGACTTGACGGTGCGGGTATACGCACACGGCACTGATGGAAGCCGAACTAGACGGAATGCTGGTAGGAGCATGGATCCACGGAGATCGTACTAAGCTCATACTACGAGTGAGTGGTTAGACGAGCCGAAGAGACACCAATTTTGTGCAACAGTAGTTTGGTTGATGTCTAGATATGTCTACTGCTGTATAAACTGACTTGTACAGTATGGAGTAATGAAGATCAAACCGGCCAATGTTTCCTCTACATGCATTGGAGCATACAGCATACCTACAAATTTCTTGGACCACTGTCGTTTGCACTACAATACAGTCAATGGATATCGATGCGTTCCTATCGTAATACGTCACGTACTGGTGGCCGTAATACGCATTGACAGGTGTCTTAACAATGTATCAATTGGGGAGACACGATTGAGAGTTTGTGGACCTGGTGCTTGCTACAATATGCGATAGCATTTCCTTTCACAACGCATTATTGTGACGGAAAGAGAGGCTCTGAATTGGGATGGATCTCGTGACTTGAGTGGGTCTATCTAGGCATGTGCTTGTGGCCATTCGTGGCCACAAGTCCATGGTTGTGTGTATAGGAAGGAAGTCACGCTTTCCAGAGTGACTTCCACCAAAAGCTACCGACCTGATGGTAGCAGCCTCTCGATCAGTACCGAGTTCGAAGATGCGCGCTTGAACAGCGGTAGAGAAAGCCTAGATGTAGGCTTGTGGAGCGTGGAGAAGGTCTCCAGTCGTGGATACGGTATGCACTTTGATTATTGCTGAGCACTGGAATGCCAACAGGAAGGGTAAGTAAGTAAAAAGTAAGCAAGTAAGTAAGTGGGCTTCGTGCGGCAGCACGAAGCCCGAGACAAGGGGTTCCGCAATTGTACAGAACTGTCAACACCACCCTATGGGAACAACGCTAATCCCGAAGGGTGCAACTCCCTGTACCGTAAACTATGTAACCGTAACATCCCCCCTAGCATGAACAGCTATTTGTCAGCTGTCACATGCTAAACGGTAGCGGGAATTGCGGACACCGCAAAGTGGCGCACTTCCTCTTGAAAACTACCATGCGATGCCTATAAGTTGGACCGAAAGTTCGACCGAAAATATCGAGAGGTGACAGCGAAAAAACCTACATAAAAACCGCTCGTCTCGACATTCTCACTGCGCGTTGAACAAGCCCGACATCGACTTGTGCGAAGGAAAAACCCGGTGTCCGGGAGAAACCCTTCGCCCCCATCCCGAGGGTCAAAGAATTCAGGCTAGCGACCGAAAACACCAAGTGACACTCGGACGTAAAATACTCTTACAAAAAACCGTCCCTCGCTTGGTGAATTCACTGTAGTGGCTGGCCCGACCCTCATCTACAGCGCGGGAAAGACCTGGCCATCCAGGGAAAATCCCATCGCGCAAAGCACCTACAACACCAAATCACACCGCAAAACGGTGTCACACTCCCGCAAGGGTACTATGCAAGCACCTACAACACTAGGTCGCACGGCACACCAAGTCGCACAGCACAACGATGCTGCGTTCCCGAAATGGGTACGGTACGGTACTCTATACCCCACGGTACTTAGCACTCTTGCAACAACTCGGAAAATCCAACTCTATGAATACCACCCTAAACGAAACTGGATCACACGAATATCGACGCCCAGACGGAGCAGAGCAACGTGCGCAAGCTACGGGAAAACGCTATTCCCTATACGAAATAAACATCCAGAACACAACGATCTCACCCCCAACGGACACGTCACTTATTGCAGGAAACACGCTCCACGAAACACACTCCAAGGACTTATACAGCGATACCCCATCCGTTTTAACTAAAGTTGGAAGCGTACCGACTCTTGTGCAGGCGTGGTAAAACTACCGGCAAACGGCCGCGACCATCTGTCAACCCATATACGATACCCAAGGAATGTACGTGTGTCTTGAAGCTACCTAGAAAACGACTGTAAAATAAACAAACACCTCCAACATGTACGGTTGTCCCAGGCTACCTACACAATGATTTAAATAAACGAACGCCTCAGCCAATACATCCGGGGGTTGCCGATTCGTGTACGGGTGATGTTAGGCCACCTGCAGACACAGCCCTGATCCAACATCATGCACGCACAGCGACGCCTCGGATTTGTGCATGCCGTAATGCAGCCGTTATCTTGAAAGCCGCTCAAGCTCTCGACGGGAGAGTTCCTCCCAGTTCTGGTCACTGGCCCAAAAGGGTGTCGTCCCGTTGCCGTTGTGCGAGGATGGATGGTTTGGTGAGAACCTGCGCCGCCCGGTCAATGGCTGACGTCCCACGAACATCTGGTCCCGACGACGACCTCGGTACCTCCCCCCGTGCCGCGAGCACTTCACCGATGTCGTCGTGGCTTCGATGGACGGGCGACGGCGGTAGCGCTGGAAGCGGGGGTGCGGGTGGCACGGCTTCGACAGGTGTGGATCCAGCCTCCTGCTCGTCCTGGAGAAGCCCCGTCTCTCCCACCGGTGGCAGCTGCACGTCGCCGATGGGCCGCAGGCGTACGGATGGCGTGCAAGTCCTGCCGCTACGGCGTAGTCCCTGGGACTCGGCATCCAACGCTCATCGCAAAGGGCAGCGCTCCAAGGGCGGAGGGGTTAGCGTTAACGGCCCCATGGATCAAGGGTGGGGAAGGGACGTGAGCTACCGCATTCTCCTTTTGGTCTGCCTGTGCAGGGTCTAGATCGGCCAATCTCACACCGTTCAACTCTGGGCCCAGAGCCTCGACTGACGCGTCCTCTACCGCGGGCGACAAATCGTCCCGAAAAGAGTCATCGACGTTCTCCTCAGCGGGCCCTGCAACCGGGAGCCGCGAGCGCGCGTCGGGCACAACGTGCTCTACGACGCTGGCGATGTCTCAACGCGCGGCGCCACAAAGAGCCTTTATGGACGTGCAAGGGACGGGCAAACTACCCGTACTCGAAGGGGGTTGTGTTAGGAGAAAGGGTAACGATCTCTTATTCATTCGACATCCGTAGTGCAACATGGCCACCACAAACTGCCAATGCATATCGCCAAGGTGGGCCAGTGACAACTGTAGAATATCGAAGACCAGGTCACTTCCATCCCTGCGTGGTCGTACGTGTGTGGGGCAGCACGACTATGTCGGCTAACATGGACTCTGCGGTGGCTGGCAACTCGTTCCCTTTGTTCGCATTAGCCTACTCAACGTCTTGCCTCTTTACGTCCCCCCAAGCCTTCAACTGCTGTCACGACACTTGTGAAAACCTGCCCCCTGTGCACGTCGCCTCGTTGCTGTTGTTCTGGGAGACGTGCCGACGACATTCCGATGGCCTCCAATCCTGCCTGTGGGTATTCTGCCCTGCTTTCAGGCAGCCGTGCTCCGGTGACCGCGGCGTCTCCCCCCTTGCAGAAAGCAATATCCCGCGGTCCCTGGGGAGCTGTGTTATGACGGCCGCGCGACATCCCCCCTTGCTGAAGTCAAAGCATCCATCCGCGGTCGTTTCCAAAGGTGCGAGGGTGCTCTCTTCGACGTCCTATCTCGGCATCGAAAGCGGTTTCTACCGGCAGCGCAGCGTGTGTTGCCAAGAGCAAAACTCCACCTCACCCCTACGTGACAGCATGCATGAGCACGATTCGGGGAAAACGTATCGCATGTATTACGTGCAGCAACCAGAGTGGTCGCTACACACGTTTCATCGCTCTCAACAAGACGAGCAGTGGTACAGGTGCAGCCGCCAGGAGCGGCAGCTACACCAATACCAGACACCGGTGCAGCCGCCAGGAGTGGCAGCTACACCTAATACCAAACATCATGCAGCCGCCAGGAATGGCAGCTACACCAATACCAGACACCGGTGCAGCCGCCAGGAGTGGCAGCTACACCTAATACCCAACATCAATGCAGCCGCCAGGAGTGGCAGCTACACCAATACCAGACACCGGTGCAGCCGCCAGGAGTGGCAGCTACACCTAATACCCAACATCAATGCAGCCGCCAGGAGTGGCAGCTACACCAATATCAGACGTCGGTGCAGCCACCCAGCGGCACCTCCCCCCTCCGGGGGGGCGGCCATGGGTGTAGTCACCCGGGTCAGCCGCTGCACATGTTCCCTCCACCCGCCAACCACACCGCCGAAAAAAAAAACTGGTCGGGAGACGAGTGAGCTGATAGCAACCGTGCACGGAATTTATGCCATGCGCGATGACCCACGCATCGCATGAGGGAAGCATGTGAGCCTTGAAAAATATACCGCAGACACCGGAAAAAAAAAATCAAAATACCAGCACATGTTAGGGTTAGTTAGCTGAGAGTTAGGCATGGGGTTGCACGCCTGGACATACACCAGTGTGCAAGCCGCGTGGTTGCAAACAAAGGATTATGAGACAACGTCAGCATGAACACTCAGGAATGGGAATGATTATTGGAAAAAAAGAAATGTCCCCAAACAGGAAACAGAAGGATAAAGAAAAGAACGTCGCAAAAAACGAGCATATAAAAATAATTAATAATAATAATAATGAAGGAGGCAATCCATGTACGTGCGAAGCGCACAGCAAAACGAGCGAAAAACAGGCAACGCAAAACCCACGGCAGACGAGGAGCGAGCAAGCAAGCAACAAGCAACGCGCGGCAAACGAGAAGCAAAAGGGCAGGCAACATAAAACAAGCAGTGCACGAGAGAGCAGAAGGGGCGCAACCTCCCGGCCTGGGAGACTGTGACACACAACGCAACTGCTGGTTCCACACCAATTCTCGCCATGCTATCACGCTCTCGATTTAGGCGGCAACGGTCGAGAACGGGGAATCGAGCAGTGTGTGTGTT